AGAGATTCATTGAAGTATTTCGGTGACTCAATTTTACCCAAATCATTTGAAGAATGCTCAATCCATCAAGACCAGAAAACATTTAACCGAAAATAATTTTGAATAAACTCACAGATATGTCGTTTCACGTTCTGATGACCCGAAAAATTGTCCATGAAGCATCACCAAGCAAATACCAAGGCTTATTAGCACCACCGAAATGAATATTTTGGTACCTTGACGATGAAGCCACAAATAAAATATTCGCCTCATACGGGTAGCGAAAAAATCCACATCAGTTCCCTGTTCAAAACGCACCATCCAGCAGACGTTTATCAAAATTAGAAAAAAAAGATAAAGTTATTTTTCCCGTGATTGGAAAAAGAATTGTTTGGCTTTTGCAAGCATCCTTTTCTATACGGCATTGACGAAAATAAGGAGCGAAAATTGTCAGCACGGAGACGCATTCGCTAGAATTTATATCCAAAAGTGGTTTCATGAGAAAATCTCTGCCAGAGAAAATTGTATCCCCCAGTTTGAAAATCCCTCTGGTCCAAAAATCTCACCAGGTACAAAAACGAAATGCATGCATCTGAAAGAAGAAATACATTCAAAGAATTTTAGCAGAGAAATAGTCTAATTACTCAATTTTGTCATGATAATTCATAATTGTGATGTGGTTGATTCAAGTGAATTGCTATCTGATCTTGCTTTAGGCAAGACTGAACCATTAGCATTTGTATCATCTGACATCCCTTTGGTACATGATATCAGAGCTCTTTTGACAAATTCATTCCATTTTATCAAAACCAATTTATCAAATTTTCAAGAGTGTCAAGGGGCTTAATTTCTGCAGTACAAAAATTTTCAAATGTGCTCATCATTTACGGATGAAAACACAATGAAACCCCAAGTCTGAGTGGAGATTTTAAATTTGCTCCGATTTTTTTTCAATCGAAAATTGCAGACATCAAATTGCATATCTCTCGGATTTATTTTTTTCACAGCACAGGGCAGAAAAATTCAAACTTTGCCACTGGAGGATTAAATACTCTACTGCCACAACAGAAACAACAAATTAAACTGATTTCAGTTCTTTTCCTTTTCATTCTGCGTCTTTACAAGAAGAGACTTTCTTTCACACTAAATGCCCACATAGGCGGGTGAGACCAGGAGCATGCGTTTGGATTCTTGTGGTTTTGAGCAGGTTCGCATTAATATTCTATGATGCTTCAGGAAATTCTCACGCCTGAATCTTGGGAACCAAATCAGGAAATGAATTCGAACTTTCCAGAGACAACTCAGTTCCACTGTTCAAAAAAGAAACGAACACTGGTAAATATTCTGCGGATTTAATTATGATGGGTCTGCAACCGCCGCGGAACGAATTTTCGGAAAAGGTTCGCATGTTCAGCAGGTTGCCTATTTTTACACACACACACACAATGAGAATAATTACCCGACCACGATAGTTATGTTTCCCTTGTGGTGATTTAGTTTTTGTTTTATCCTGCACCTGCTGCAGTTTAGAACAAGCAGGACACAGCAGACAGCGCTTGTCAAGTTTTATCTTTTAGACAGCGTTCTGCCTTTTCTGCTGTAATAATGACTCATGTCATAAGCTCTTTGCCAAAACATTCGTTTTTAAGAAAACATGCAGAAAATATTTTGAACTGTCTTTTCACAAAAAAAGACGGAGAGGCGTGATTCCGGCTGAAGAATAACTTGAAAGGGTAAAGGAAAACGTACGTTGAGCTACGGCAGCATTCTGGATTATTCAAATTCGATTCGAACGTGGCTAAAAAAAATGCTGAATTTTCGTTAGATTTATATTGTAAGAAGGTGAGAACCTTTTTTTTTTTAATGATGCGTTGAATACAGTAAGACCCCCAGATGCAGACATAATTGGTGCATCAAGAGTGTCCCTATGTTGGATTGTCCCCAAGTTGAATCTTGTTTTCCCATAGACTTACTTTGTATAATTTTCAATTGGTGTTTTATGGAAGAAATATTCTTAAGAATTTCATGAAAAAAATGTTTGCCACTTGAATTTGATTCAATGAATATCTTTTCAAACCAATAGGATTGTTTGGAACATTGAATAGTGTACCTCTGTACAGTAAATTNCCAGACAAACAAACAGACAAGAAAGTGAGTTCATAAAAACGTGGTAATAACATCCATGTCACAAAGAGAGCTAGAAGGAAGTCCCTCTGTGCTATAAGGCATTTTTTAAATTAGCTGAATGGATGGGAAAATGATGGGAAAAGTACCAAAGAATTTTTCTTGCATAGATCCTAGGTTGGAATCATCTGTTTCTTGCAATTGAGCCTTATAGAAATAGATTTTCCTAAAATTTATTTTGGAATTTCATCCTGCAATGTCCCCAGGTTGAGTCAGTGTCCTCATGTCGGATCTTTTTTATGATTTTTTGTTAAAAAATAAATGTCCCCATGTCGAATTGTCCCCATGTTGAGGCTTCCGCATGTGGGGGTCTCACTGTATTACATTGCATCATTAACAGAATATCCGAAGAATAACTCCCGATTTAAATCCTGTTCCCATTTTACTGCTCGCTGGTGCCTGACTTTGTTTCACGGAATCTCATTTAGACTAACACAACATAGAGGTCGCCTGTGTCGCTGATCAGAATAAATGAGGGACATTTCAAATTACATCGAAAGTTTTCTTGCAAAGATGACAATTCAAGTTTTGAAAAAATGGTCAGTTCCACGCACTTATATTAAAGAGCACATTTATGTGAATCAAGTACGACACGAGCGGAGAATGAAAAAAGAAAGAGCACATTTATTCAGGATGCACATACAGCCATTTTTCGATTTTTGCAACAAGATTTGAAATAAATGCACCGTCTAACCTGTCTTTTTCAATATTTCCGGATGCAGAAAAAAAAAGTCTGCGGCCAAGAGTCAAATCCGAGTCAAACACTAAAAACATTCAAAATTACGTCCGTTTTGACTCACACAAATATTTTTGATCCAAGCTCGATAATTATTTCGACCTATTAAAACCGGAATAATCCGAAGTAGGGTGGTTGTCTAACTTGTCTTAAAAAAGGTTTAGTGAAAGCAATAAAATAAAACGCTGAAAACCATGCAATGAGGATAATATAAGTCAGAGATGCCCTGGTTTCACAGCCCAGAAACCCGGCCCAGGAAGTTCCACCGTCAACCAGTTTGAAGAAGTCGGCCCAGGTCTTCTGATATGAACCCCGTTGTAACTGCTCCACATTTTCGAACAGTTTCAAGCATACATTTGAAAATCAATCTTGCAATGTAAATCTATCATTCAATTCAGAGATATCTTGCTGTAACGTTTGAATATCAAATAAAAATATTCTTTGGAAAAAAAAGTGGTGTCGTTTCTCAGTTGGGTCTCGTTCGCTTATATTTGCATCGAATCCCAAACACAAAATTGTGAACAAGTGAAGAGCTGATTTAAAATTAAATTAAGAGTCCAATCGAAGTATAATTGAAGGAATGAATAAAGAAGGATACGCGTTTTTCCTACAATTATAAATCATCTGCTGACTCCATCGGACCAAATTCAAATGTAAATGTGTGTATGTCGTAATTCCAGAATAATTCGAAAGGCTGATATTGTGAAACTGTTTCATGTGAAAATTTTCCAATTTCCAACCTTTTCAAAAAATTGAGAAAATTTCGAACCTTTATTTATTAATTTGAGATATTCTCAAATTTTAATGAACCACGTGAATATTTTCGTGAGGAAGTCGTAATTTATATCTGGCGTCATCTTTCTTTTCACGATTCCGGGGTCGATCATTCACTCATGCCATCAATATTTTTTCATGAAATGAGACAGAAAAAATTACAAACTTTTCCATCTATGCCTTGCATCACCCGGCCCTCTTCTGATATGAACCCCGTTGTAACTGCTCCACATTTTCGAACAGTTTCAAGCATACATTTGAAAATCAATCTTGCAATGTAAATCTATCATTCAATTCAGAGATATCTTGCTGTAACGTTTGAATATCAAATAAAAATATTCTTTGGAAAAAAAAGTGGTTTCGTTTCTCAGTTGCGTCTCGTTCACTTTTGTATCGAATCCCAAACACAAAATTGTGAACAAGGGAAGAGCTGATTTAAAATTAAATTAAGAGTCTAATCGAAGTATAATTGAAAGAATAAATAAAGAAGTGTACGCGTTTTTCCTAAAATCAATTCATCTACACTGACTCCATTTGACCAAAATGAAATGTAAATGTATTTGTGTTTTAATTCCAGAACATTTGGAAAGGCTGCTGTGAAACTGTTTTATGTGAAAATATCCCAATTTCCAACCTTTGCGAAAAATTTAGAAAATTTCGTACCTTTATTTATTAATTGGATATATTTTGAAAGTTTAATGAACCACGTGAATATTTTCGTGAGGAAGTCATAATTTATCTGGCGTCATCTTTCTTTTCACGATTCCGGGGTCGATCATTCACTCATGCCATCAATATTTTTTCATGAAATGAGACAGAAAAAATTACAAACTTTTCCATCTATGCCTTGCATCACCCGGCCCAGAGTGATTTTGCAAAACCGTGCTGCTCACGGCTCCATTTTTGTGCATCATCATTCAAGATGTCAATCCTTGTGATGGCTTTCCTGTGCCGATTTTTTTCAATGAGTGAAAATACTGCCTGAAAGTTTGCCAGTGTTCGAGCATAAGTTTTTTTCCTTAAAGAGTGATTTAATTGTGTATATGTACCCCTTTTTGGAAGTCGCCCAAGCAATTCAGAAACGCCAGAGGAAATTAATTTTGCAATCGTCAATTATTCCTGCATCGAATCAATTTTAACATTTTTTTTATATACGCTGGTCGGAAGCATCTTTCTGTCGCGTTATTTTTCCGATTCTTGGCCGGTTTTTAGCAAAATGGGGAAACAAAATTTCAGCTGGGATAAAGCCGAAAAGATGTTTTCATCATCACGTGGAAAAACAGTGTTACTCAGGCTTCGCACATCATGATTTTCTTGTTGGAGTTGTATTTATTCTGGCTCATTATTTTTTAGAATAGCAGAAAATATGAGAGACTGGTTCAAGATTACGCTGTTGTGCTTCAATTTGATGGCAATGGCACTTACCTTGATATCAGTAAGAGCAGCTAGAGAAGTTGTGACCAACAGGGTGAGCCAGGAGCAGGATCCTGGGCTTGACATTTTGGGAAGTAGGACAGCGCCATCTGACGGTGCCGTGATGAAGACCTTGGAGCAGTTGCAACATTCGAAAGCATCAACTCAACAAGTCAGTAAACGAAAATGAAAAAATTTACCATTTTCTTTGGGATGCTATGATTAAGCTTTTCATAAGGGTTCCACCAATTCAATCGCAATTGCGTTGAGTGTTATATTTCAAGATTTCGTTGAAGCAGAAATTGAAAAAAAACCATGAGATGTGCGTCGCCAAGAATACGAAGATAATTTTTGAACTGAAACTGTCAAAACCCGGATAAAATCGCGGCATACTGTATCCATAATTTACATATGAGGTCGTTCAAACAAACATATTGATTTCGCCCTTGTCACTCGAAATACATTTGAAGGAAAAAAGAAACTTTGTATTCTCTGAATGTATTCTTCATGAATACAGTGGGGCCCCAAGATGCGGAAAAAATTGGTGCTTGGACCTTCACCTACTTTCAGGTTGTCCACATGTTGGATCAGGTTTTTCCCATAGACTTCAATGGGAGTCTTTCAATTGGTTCTCCAGCTAATCGAATATTAGGGATAAGTCTCCCAAAAAATTGAATAAAAATTGCCTTTCAACTTAAACATACAATACAGAAAATTACTCTATAGAAGGAAACCACACAAAATCTAATTTTTTGGCATCAAAAGGAGCACAAAAGATCAAGCACAAGTTTTGAATATACTGTGTACAGGTGATGGAAAAAAACTCCCAAAAATAAGCACAAAATTATTGGCAAAAATATGATGTTGGCATTATAAAGTATCTCAATATATGTTGCAGAGTTTGAAACATTAATCTTTTCTTTTTTCTAGAAATGTTGGAAAACTGTCTGTATCTCCATAAATTGTCAAGATATGTCTAGGACTCTAGGTAGATTTTTTTTCAATTGCAAGTGTCCCTAAATAAGTAAAATCATTTATATGTTGGGATTCCACTGTAAAATGAATAGACTCAATAGAGTATAAGAAACTACTTGACCTTGAATAAAAATCATGGCACATGGTAATTAGGCAAAGATATAGCCTGAATATTACAGTGCTTATACATACTACCCATGGAGTATTAGTCTAATTATTTCCAAATTTTCACCGACAGTATAACGTACAGTGATTCCCCCACCTAACGGACCTCCCGCCATTTGGATTTTTGCCAAACAGACTGCCTCTGGAGGCAGTTTTCCCTCTTACCAAATTACGCAGATTCAGTCCAAGTAGGAATCCAGTCCGTTGGAATTTTTGGGATCCATTGTCTTGAAAATTAAATTTTAAAATGGTAGGCAGGTTAAATGAAACAAGGTCCAATATTGTTTCTGCTGTTCAAAACCTTGTTCGGATATGCCAGATTTACTCTCTGTTGCACTGTATATAGTCAGTTGGCTTCTCTTTGACAATCAAGAGATTTGAATTTTTTTAGAGAATAGCTCAAATTAAGATGATGCTTTTGAACAAGTAGTAGAAACTAATGATCCAAAACAGTGGACACAAATTCAGTTGGGGAGCTTCTCTATTCCGCTCCACCAAACTTGCTTTTCCTTGGGAAATCCTTGTCATGACTGATGGGTTAGAAAGACCCAAACATTTTAGAAAAATGGCTCTGTATACTGAATGTTTATTATTTTCAAAACTGGTGGATCCATTTCTTGACTCTTGGTCAACTTTTTCATTGAGATCATGATCTTTCATCATTATTGTCTTGCAGACCATTAAAGTTGTATACCATCTTTTATTTTTATTTCTTTTAAATTTCAATTTATTTTATTTTCTGCTGCTGATATGGAAATTATTCCCTGATTTTCTAAACTTAAGAACCTCAAGAATGGCTATGTTTTTAAGTTTTTTCCTAATTTTTGTATTGCATTTTCAAACTAAATTAACCTGTAAACCTACAGGAAAATTGAACTTGTGTGACAGACTTTTTGCGTAAAGGACTAATCCATTGCACAAATTGAGTCCGTTATGCGGGGGACCAATCTACATTATTGTTGTATAGTGGCACAGCATTTGAAAATGTGTTTTAAAAAAAAAGCGCCAGAATGAAAGATTTCGCCTGATATTCGCGTCCATTTTCTCATAAATCATGCATGATATTCGTAGCATCGAGAGAAGTAATGATTATGCAGGTGTCACTTTTCAAAGTTTGACATTGAAAATGCATCTTGTTTTTTCTCAATTATTGCACATACAAGTCGAGACCTTATTCGAATTGTCTCCAGGAGGAGGAAACGCAGAAAAACAAGGACGATGAGGACGAGAAAGAATGTCCCCTGGGACAGGTCTGGGACCGGAACACCAGGAAATGCGTGCACAAGCCGGAAGTGCTGGTCAGTTTGAGTCGCTTGCCGTTCATTGCCATCGCCCAGTACACACTACACAGCCCCTTTGAAATCGACCTTCGCAATCACAGCAACAAGAACAAGCACAAGAAGAAGCCCAACAGAACCGACACTCTACGACCGGTACATATATGCATACTCATATATATGCTGCTGTACATATACACAACACTTTTCCGTCAACAACCTCACATTACAGCATTTCTTGTTTTTTTTCTGTCTCAACACTCATTTAAATATACGATCAGCACAGCGGTTGATTTTGCTTGAACTGGGAAGAGAAAGTTTGGGATGAGCTGAAAACTCCGAATTATTTTATTTTTGTTATGATTTTTTTTTTATTATGAAATACTATATTATTGGGAGCATCACATGTGCCTTCGGTTCGCTTGCCTTTTTAAATACGCATCTGTCTTTTTGATTTGGAATTTTGAGAAAAAAAACCTTTTCCCTATTATGATTCGGACCCAGTTTTCATAAAGAACTACATTAACTATAGTACTGTACTATGAAAGCAGAATTTTTGACTTCAGCAGTTTAAAGCAAACTGCATTTTGTTTTTTATTTTAAATTTTTTCCTTGAATTTTAGCTGCTGTGGTTTAGGAAAAAAGTTCCTCTCAAAAAGGTGGCATTGTGTGATAAAATGTTTTCAAAATGTTTTCTGTACATGTACTTTGTGCCTGGGCTTGAGTTGACACTTGACAGACAAAATTTCATACCCTCCAAAGAAAAAGATGTGTGCACGGTACTCAAGTGATAACGAGGTACATGGGAAATTAATCACAGTTTCCCGTTTGTTCACTTAAAATCTTTGATAATCAACTGAAAATCAACATACAGTACTGTTCAATATTTCTCATCGTCAATAGATGAATAGAGTGTAGGTAAAATTGAAGTGGAATCATCAGGCCAACACAAATAAATTGAGGAACTTTTTCAAATTGCTGAAGCGCATAATCAACAATGAGTTTATTTTTCTTTTTCATCAGAAAAAACTAGATGCACAGTAATTTGGCCCTCATGAATGTTAACTTCGCATCAATAAGAATAAGTTTAACTTTTACCATTTCTAAATCATCCCGTGCTAATTCTTTCAAGGCCAATACACTTGAAATTTATTTTAATCAAATCATTTTTTCACATATGTCTTTTTCAAAGTCCCCCAGATTTTGTGTCTCCTTATTCTCGGGTTGAATTTTGAGAAAGTTTCTCCAAAAATCCAAGAAAACATTTTGAAATCATCATTTATCTTGATGCTTTTCACAAGGGATATGAGGCAATTTCGAGCAGTTAGATTTCTGTTAGAACATCTACGAATAACAAACAGTTATGAAAAGAAAGGTGTTTTGTTTTATTGATCAAATTTCCCAAATTAGGCTATTTTCTGCAGCAAAAACCCCGATCTATACGAGTTGAATTCTTCAAGTCCTTTGAATTCGACTGAAAGAACGTAGACTGTAAAGTCAACAACTTTTGTTATACAGCATTCTTGAAATGAGCTAGGATTTTGCAAAGAAACAGGTTCTTTATTATTCTCCAGTTCGGGAATTAGGACAAGGCATTTTTGAAAAGTATAATCCAAACAATATTAGTGATAAATTCTGAAGAAAAAAGTGTCATGCTAAAAGATTTTTCAAATCAATAACTCAAAGCAGAATGCTTACGCATAAACTGTGTACTTAGCGTATGAAATCTTTATTTAAATCGCGTGGAATTTATTTTATATGTGCAGTACAATATAGTCTCATTTTTCTTTGACTCGTGTTATTAAATTAAAGCATAACTTCTTGTCATATCAACCGTATTTTTTTTTCGTCCCGATGAATAGCTTTGTTTTGAAGACCTTTCTTATAATCTTGGCACATCATTTCAAATCATCTCAACTTAACAGCCATTTTCATGAAAAATATGTACATATGCTTTCAGTCAACCCTTTTTCCAGTTCAGGTAAATTTCAACTCCTGACACTGTACAGCAAGATTGAGACTCGAGAATTACTGATCATTTGATGTGATGCTATTTTTCCCTCTACAGTCAATAATTTCACCGCCAAAAAGATGTCCAGCCGGCCAATATTTGGATTACAAAGGAGACTGTCAAACGATCTTCGTCTTTCGTCCATGATATATAACTCGACTTAAGAGATGAGAAGTTATCAACCCTTCTCCGATAAAATATTTAAATCATGTCTGTTTTGCTGATTTTTTCTATATCATTTCTGTTCGGGATTTCTTAATAAACCAGTTGATTATTCTCGACATTCTTGGTGCAGTTTTCAATTTTTTTTACAGAATACAAATTTTAGTCATTTGACTGCTGCTGATGACGAGAAAAATTGAAGAAACTTTGCGAACCAACGCCGTATACAAGTTCTCTGAATCGAAAAAAAAAAACTTCCAGCCTACGGTCTGATCAAGTTACTTCAGGGAATAAACTAACGAGTGTTTACTTTTGTGACGCGGATTCTGCTCTTGAGTTATACAAATCAGTCGTACCCGTTATAAGGAGTATGTGGTGTTCCTTATATTGTTGCATGTGGTTTTTCAAGACGGTTATCTCTTTTTCAGTGTGAATTCTTTTCATTTATTCATTTTTTTCATTCATATTATGGTCTATTTTCTGCACCTGTCTATCCATTTTCATTCATTTTAAAACTCATTGCGTGGAAAAAGAAAAGATCCATCATCAGAATTTTTAGCGATTTTGTGTAAAACAGGGCGAACCAATATTCTTGTACCACTATTTTCTGTGCACATCCTGCATATGTTTGAAGTTATAGTATATCAATAATAAATCGTGAAATGCACGTTCATTGACCTTTTTCGAAGAATGTAACAAAAATTCAACGCTAAACTTTCTGAATGGTTGTACATCAGATATTCTCACCATATTTTGAAACACATTTTCACAGTTGAAAAAACATGGTTCATGAAAAAGTTGCACGTGCTTTATTTCAAGTTGGATGATTCGTATCAGATATGCTGTGTCGAGTTCCACGAAAAGACACATTAGGTTTTTACAGTATTCAATTATTGCATTAGATTATTTTAATTGATGTAGCACTCAAATGTAGGTATTGTATATATATCGTACAACTTTATACTGCAAACAGCAAGCACAGATGATGACCGAATATCACAAATAACAAGCACTGAAACAAGTATATACCATAGTTTGACAAATGTACAAATATTGCATGACTACATAAAACACAATATTAAAAAATCTGGACATCTTTGAGCATTTATTTGCCTGGATAATTTGTGAAATACTGAGGGAGACAAAGGGGTTGACATTTAAACTACGTAGAATATTCGGTTTTCTACTCTCAATTATTTAAATTTTCAACACAGGAAATCAATGGCACTGCTGATTAATGCATGTACAGTATCAAGCACAGTTCAGTTATACTGCTGCACAGCAGTATACAGACTCTGTAAACACTTCCAATGCATTACAATAATAATCAGAAGCTCTTTTCTCTTTCAAATTTTTACTGTCTTCCTAAGTTTTTTAGGACAAAAAAATATTCCTTTTACTAGCAGTATAAAGACTATTATTCCAAGTCTGACTCTGAAATTTTAGAGATTATAGTATACTTCTGTAGATCACAATATCACATGCGAGAAGAACTTGTTAAACAGGATATGCAGTAGCTGATACCTATAACTATGGTTCAACAGGTTCGTCATACTGTAGCATTGACTATGATATAAAGCTCGCAATAAAAATGGATCAAGCACTCATTTCCATGACAATTTAATGTATGGTTGATTTCATGCAGAATCGACAGTTATGTGTTTTGGAATTTTCAATGAAAAAGGGGTTCAAAATTTTCTGAAATTGATATTTCTCTGCTGTGTGCAGCAGAAGCTGCACTACATTATGAATTATTTTAAAGGCAAAAAAATTCCATCACTAATTGTCTCAATTAATGTTCTCCATTTTTACTTATGTTGCAGATAAATACAGACGATTATGTGATAATTCATAGGGATCAGATATGTGACGGAAGTAATATGCAGTCAATTACAAAGCTGTCCATTTATATCCTTTTTCTCGCGTTTTGCATGCACGAAATATTTGGCAAGCCATTGCTGGTGGAGAGAAATACTATTTCATTGGTGTTGGCCAATGAGATTCGAGCCTCGTTGGGACAGCCCAACAAATCGGTGGGAGGTTCGGACAACGAACCCAAGGTGCACACAGCAGCCATCATCGGGGTGCCACTGAAGAGAAAACGCAAGAAGAATAGGAGATGCAATGCCAATGAAGACCGGGATTTCAATGGGGACTGTCATCCAATATTTTCCTTCAAGTCCTGGTCCTTTTAAGTGATGTGTGTGTGTGTATATATATATACCCCATTTTAGTTGGGGTTTGCTTCTCAAGAATGTTCCAGGAAAATTTATGTAATAAGCGTATCACATAACTTTTTTTCAAGAAGTCTATAGGGAAAAGTTTTGTTTGTGTTGTACATTTCATGAGCAGTCCTGCTATAATTGATATGTTGGAAGAAAACCATGATTGAAAAATGTGCATCTTGAAGTCAACTATAAAGACACAACCTTCAATCCATGCAGTTTACAAAAACTCATGTGATCTTCACATGATTCACATGGAATGCATTATGGCAGTGTTTCCCAACCTGAATGAATTATGGCAGTGTTACATAACTAGTGGTCCAAAGACCAGTGCCAGTTTGCAGAAGTTTTTTGCCAGTTTGTGGGAAATTTTCAATTGCAATTTATTACAAATAAATTGATCAAAAGTAACAATGAATATGTCTGTTACCTTTATCTGAAATTTTGGAGAGATAATGACAGTTGAAATCATCTGACAAAAAACAAAAGTTAGCTTTTCTCCTCATAACATGCCAGACAAATTCACACCTGCTGAAATAAATTCTTTTGATTTTTATTCTGAGAAACCTTTCTTCAAGCCTACATTTTTGATTTTAGAAAACATTCAACTGCCTGTAGCTACTTCATTGTGGCTAACCTTAATATTTACACAAAAAGGCAGAAACTTTTTAAATACCTGCCACAAAGTCTTTCAAACAAAACCTTTCTGAGTGTGCAAAATTCTTCAAAACTTTGCCACTCTACAGATTTTTTTTTATTTGCAACAAATGCTATGGAAATTTGCTGGTCCACAAGAATTTTCATGGAAATCTACCATTCTGCAGGCCCAAAAAGGTTGGGTAACATGCACTGCAATATAGAATATGCTGTCATTTTCTATGCAGTGCTCTTGTGGCAGCATGGAGATTGTCTCAAAAAATGATGTTACCATCACTTTTCTGGGTTGGGTCAAAATTAGTTGTAGTGACCCCCACCTCAGGTCACATTTTATTGTGCCTTTTATTGGGGAAATCAATTTTTTATTAGGCAAACGCTTGAAGAAGTATCCAAAATAGACATGTTTTAAAGTGGTCTATCAACTTTAAAACAGGAAATGACTGCATGCAGAAGACAAAACTAAACAGCACTGTCCCCCTTTTCCGTGGAAAGGAGTTCAGAAAATAAAATAAGTGTGATGTCAAAGCACACATTATTAACAGCTGATTGAGTGGAAGGTGCAGGGTGAGCCTTGGAAAGTGAGGACAAAAATTTGCACTTTGGAACTCAGAGCAGATTAAATTTACAAAAACTATATTCTGACTCTCTTTCCCCAAGACAGTAGCTCAATTTGTTTTAAAGGCATCAAAAACTTAACATTTTTCAATGGTAACGTTTGCTACATCCATTTCTTGACTAGATTTTTTATTTAAATGTTAAGGCATAATTTATAGGCTTGAAGTGTTCATCTGAGTCAATTTTGGTGCCCCAAAGTAGTGATCAGCATTGCACTACAATTTGTGCATCACTATTCTGAGCAATTTTGTCATTCATTTCTACGAGGATGGTCCACCTGTGTTTCGGTTCAATGAATGGAGAATTGACATTAAAAGAGTTCACTATTACTGTGAATGTGCTGTCAGTCAGGAAGCTCTTACTTGTGTATGTTCAGAAGTCATGTGCACATGATATCACCTTTAAAGGAAATGCAGAAACAAGGTAAGGGGAAACTTCTGATCTTTTCAAGTTTGCACAAATCGAATTTTATTGAAGCATTTTGATGAAGCTGTTTGTGCAGCACTCATTATGCACTTCATGTAAACCCTATTTACTCAAGTACCATGTGCCTTTGTGTAAGACTTGCACATTGTATTTTCAGCACAGAATTTGCCCAAGAACCTATACCTCCATAAAGACTTGGACCAAATTCTTCTCTTAAACTGATAATCAAAACTTGTTCAACAAGTAATCCTTCTCAAAAAAACCTCATAAAGGAATGGGAAATTTCAAAAAAAAGAATCGAAAACAATTAAATAGAAGATTCAATTATGAGGTCTGCTGTACTTCCCAAAATATTTTTTCAATTTGAACAAAATATGTGCGAAATTTCACCAACTCCAATGGTATTCTACTTTCTACATATGGAATATGCAGAATTCTACCCGTGGAATACTTGAATAAAAAATGCGTATGCACATAAGAGAGCATATCACTAGTTTGCCGACAAAAAATATCCGAAAGTATCGCTAGTTTAATACTAGAGAGCACAATCCACGCGGAAGTACAATTGAAGCAACCGGATCTCCTTGGAAGCTAATTAAATAGACCAAAGGCCCTTCTGGGTTTTGGTCTATTTAATGGTCCACTTCTCCCCTACATCGCTCACCAAAAAATTTTCGATAGGAAGAAAAAAACACATTGGATATTTTCGTATCGCACCACTATTTTTAGTTCTGAAAAGAAACAAAAACATCGCACATAGGTCTCCCGAAAAGAAAGAAAACACAACTCACAGTCACAGTCGCGGTCACTTGTGTACAATTCGCTGCCAAATTCAAGTTGAAAATTCGTCACGTTTGAAGGTGGGGAACAGATAAGTTCCGGGTTGCATCGCGAACAATAATAAATCATGACAAAAATAATGCGATTCGGTTTATCTCAGCTGAAAAATCCCGTTGAGGCACCGGATGCGATTCACGCACATTCTGGAGTATTCGTAGCCAGCGTGAGAGAAGCCCAAATATACGAACGTATTCAAGCGCACGTCAGGATGCTATTGACATATTCGCGGTCCATGGGATCGTGATTCCTTTCGCTTTCCATGATCAATGAACGCTGAGTCAAACGCGGTCCAGGGGAAAATGCTCTGTGATTTCCCGAAGAGCCCCGTGGATACGCGTTCATGGCCGCGCTCACTGTGCGTTGTACAGCCGCGTCAAGGAGATGCTCCGTGAAGCGTTGGCCTTTGAGAGCGGAAATGTGCATCAGGTCAGATCCGCCTGTCTGGCTGAACGAGTCATTTTCCTTGATTTCGGTCTCTGTCACCATTCCATTCGTTACATGCAACGTGACAGTCACACTTGCGATTCCGTGTTCTTGAGGATTATTACCAGCATTATGAGCTTTCGGAAGCGAGTACGTGCGAGAGAACGAAAAGTTCGGCGTTTTACCGTATACCCAGTCCCAGCTTGCAAGATCTCGCCGAGTGCTGCCTAAGCCTGGAAACAAGAAAAAAACAAGAAAATTCAGCTTCATCAAAAAAATTCGAAAAATCTGTATAAATTACCAGGGAACCAGTAATCGGAAGGATTCAAGAGCTGATATCCTCCCGCTTCCGATGGAACCGTGTTGCCGTGCTTGTCCTCGATAGGATTTTGGAGGAACACTCTCCCAATGGCGTTCATCACATCGGAAACTCTCGCAGACGGCTCGGCTTCCCGCAGACATGCAGTTTTTGCTGGCACGCTAATGGTAGCTTTAGATTCGTAACCACCCTGCGCAGATCCGGCACATTACTGATCAGCTATTAACAAATTCAAGTTTCTGTCAGGGAGTTTATGAAAGAAAAGGAACAAGTAAGGAATTTTATCCTTTCGACGGGCACTGCGTGTGTCGGCGAATACACGTCGATTATTCACTTGTCAAACCTAATTTTAAATTGCGATGGGATCATTTTCACATGCTTTGGTGTAGCTATCCAACATTTTAAGAACTGGGCATCCTGGAGTAACGAAGGGTACCGATCCAGTTTTTCAGGTCGAACGAAGCATTGAAAATTAGCACCAAATAAATATCAGCATTTATACAAGCTTCAAGCGCACTCTGCGTGCCTGATTTGACACGTGAGAAAATATTGCGGAGTGCGTTTGCCACCTCTGGCTCCGAAAAAGTTTGCCACTAGCTGAAATTTAATGAATGGCCCACAAAAAAATATGTCAGTGTTTCCGAAGTGCCCTTCATGAGATATTTGCATCACACAAACCCTGTTCGCTGTTTCCTCCCAGTGAACACTGTTAGCAGACCGCTTTTTTTACACTAAACCACGGCCAGAAAGAACAGTCAAATATTCGGAAGTAGTGACGAATTTGAACAGGAACATGCAAAAGGCACTTTTAAAAACTTCAAAAGGAATCATGCTAGAATAGCTGGAACATACTTATTTTCTCTCTTAAATTTCATCTGCAATTAAATTCAATCAACAGGAAGAATTTTCACGAAGTAAGATTACTTCAAGGGGCCATATTCAATAAGATCAAGTTTCGATGAAACAGGAGTTCTCCCAGTTCAGTACAGGAATATAGTAGGCGGTAATCAACATAATGTAATTTAAAATTCTGAACTTCGTTCATTTAAGGTGTTTTTCCATATTTTTTACAATACAGCAAGAGGAGAATAGAAATTTTTCAGTAATGGCCAGAGGAATGATGAATAAGCATTGGACTCCGCTAAGATGTAAATGAACACCCAATCGTGGCAATCTTCTTGAAGCCAAAACCCTGAACAAATAAAATTATACACCGCACAATATCAATGCAAAAATAATAATACTCCGCAAATTACAGTATTATAAAAATTTATGAAAATTAAAAATCGACACGATGTCATTGCAACCACTACACAAGGTTTGTGTCTTTTTATTTGGAACAACTGATCATCCAAAATGTTGGAAAATTTCGCAAGATGTGAGAAAGATTATATTCCAAGTACAGTATATATGAAATACGACAATGTACACTTCCAAAATGCAAGCGCTTGAAGCTACGTCTTGAGATATGGAGAAACATGTTCTGCAGCATGGTCAATTGATAAAAGTAGCAATTGAATCGGTTATCTTCATATTAAATCGTGGAAAAACAAATGGTAGTAGTAATTATTTGAAGAAAGCATAAGTTGGCTTATCTCTAAATTTTACTTCAGACATTTTTTCAAATCCTGAAATAAATTATTTTAATTATTTTCAGTCCGAGAAACCTTCCTTCAAGACCATCATTCTAATGTTTTGAAAACATTCCACTATACGCCTGCTTCATTGGATCTTGACTTTTGTGGAAAAAAAAAAACAGAAACTTTCTAAATACCTGCCATAAAACTTTCGAACCGAACTTTTGATTCTGCAAAAATTTTACAAAACTTTGCCAATGTCGCAGGAAATATTTGGGAAATTTGCTGGCCTGCAACAAATTTCAAAGCAATTTGCCAGTCTGTGGACCCAAAAAGGTTGTGGAACACTGCTCTAGAACAATTTTCTTGGTACTGTATAATTCATTTTGGTCCCATAGGGTTCTCTACAACAATTTCCTCTGCTTACAAAACTGTATTGGTCCCATAGGGTTCTCTTCAAAAGTTGTCTCTGCATAACAATTGTTTGGTCCCATGGGGTTCTCTAACCATGCTTATAACACTTTTCTATGCATACCAGTTTGTTTGGTCCCACAGGGTTCTCTACCCATGCTATGGGAGTTCTCTGTAACAATTTTCCTACTATCGCAATTCGCTTCGTCCCTGGGGGTTTGTTACCCATGTTATAGGGGTCCTCTAGATCTAGAACACTTTTCTCTGAGTGATCCAATTTTGTGGTTCCATAGGGTTCTCCACAAAAAATTCCTCTGCATAAAAATTTGTTTTGGTGTCACACTCTACAACGAACTTTCCTCCGAAAAAAATTATTTTCTGTTCCCTTGAATTTCGTTGTGGAGAGTCCACCTCCATACAATTCCTTAAGCTTATTCTTACCTTCACTCCGCCGGTTCGAAGAGCCTTCTGGAGCATGGATCGATCGGAATGGACAAGAACCGTGCAGTGGTGATAAGCGACATCTCGTCCCAACTTGGCAGCAGTTCCTGAAACTTTCTGGCCACGCCACTCGATATCATCCCGCTTGTTGACGACCAGATCAAGGCCGTACGTGTCCCAGACAGCGGTTCGAATCATTTCCAAGTTTGCTTTACGGTCATACTCGTCCCTGAATAAATCGTTGGAGAATCCCATCAAATTATTTTACAAATAACTATACGATCTGAGACGATCTTGCTGCATAAAAGATTGGGCTCGCAGAGACCAAACGGGCGACCATCAGCGACAAAACAAACCAACCAACCAACCCCATACCGTCGTCAATCGAAACTCATTTCCAAGTCATCCAAAAAACAGGTAAGATACATGCTCCACAACTGCGCATTTGATATACCTGACGCAGTCGACGACATTGGATGCCCGTAACGACCGAAGCGGTCAAAGAAAGGAGATTCGGGGCTTCAAGAAATTGTCATGACATCTGGTGGAATTCAGCATGCCTTCTACAGTACTAGAACGAGTCCTTTCTAAAACTTTACGAGATCAACCGTGGTTCCACTCAATGATAAACACAAGAACAAAATCTGCCATCCGCAAACATTAAATCTTAGTTCAGTATTGGCGTAAATCCGCAGAAATTCTTGAAAACAGCAGATATCCGGCCCACTAAAATAGGGATACCGTACTGTATTCGAGGGATTTGGAAGGTGCAAGTAAGAGCATTGGGTTAAATAGAGGTTCAAGAATGTGGAAGGTGTACTGTATATTCTATAAACGAGGAAAACCAGGTGCTCAGAGCTTTGTAGAAGACGTTACACAGAAACTCAATGCGATTCAATCAATGCTGCTTCGAAAAAAGATAGATGGACAAGGATCATTGTCCTGAAGCTGCGTATAATGCTTCCTCACTTCTCCAGTTTGAAAAAAAATAAATAAATCATGGAGAAAATTATTAGTAGCGTTCTAAGGATGCCACTAATTCCCTACATTTCTCTGGCATTAGCGAAGTCTTCGGGATGAAGAAACGAAGAATGTTCACTGCCATCACACAGGTAGTGAACAACTGATTCCATTAGTTCAAAAAGTATTCCTTTCAATGTGACACCCAACGAATGATCCAAAACTGATGGCCCAATGATCCTACTCCCGTTCTCAGGTATCCATTGGAACAACAAAATAAGACAAAAAAGGGCGTGAAAATCCAACAGGAATGGCGCAAAAAGCACCAGCAAAGGACCAGGCTGGTCCAGTATAAGCTCAATAAACACCGCCCGCATTTCAACATACAGTAATCGATTGGACAACAAAAACTCGAAAAATGTGAAGAAAGAGCATGGAATATATTATCGCTAATGTTGTCACATGACAAAAAGTTTTCGAAACAATCATCCTCGGTGGTTCAAGAAAATTCAAAATAATGCTTGAAAAGTACCCAGACATCTTCCTTCCCGCTATCTATCAAATGTTTTCGAAAAAAAAACAAGGCATGTACAAAATATCTTTCTCGGGGGCCCAATCAAAAGTCAAAGAAGCCCAATTGAAGGACTAACTGGGCATCGCCAAAAGTAATTAAAAGTTACCCAATCAACTAATGGTTCGTCCCATTTTTCAACTAATTTACCATCAGCACCGCAATACAACAAACTTCCTTTGTGCTGGTGCAAGTCAAGGTTCTAATAAACCTAGCTCAACAGAAAAATCACCCCTTACACTCAAATTCCTGTACTGTACTTCGCCTCCAGAGTTCGTCCTTCCAGAAGCACAGTTAAGTACCTATCATCGTTCATGGTTTATTCCGTAGGTTTCACTTAATCCTCAGGAGTCTGGATTCTGAGAAATCTCACCAATACTACCGGATGCGCTCACAAGAATAAAGCTACTGCAGTCATCATAAAAAATTTGATGACGTACCCAGAAAATATACCCTCAGAAACAGTACAAGGAAAAAATCGCTGAAACATGCGTTCAATAACCTCCCATATCGATCATCTACACCTCGACGAAACATTTTTTTTAAAGAGAAGGGCCCTTCGGATGGTGAACGATTTTTTGGAAAACCGACATTCCGGAGACAGTGATGCAGGTGGACTCTCTCCACAACGAAACTCGAAGGACCAGAAGAAAATTTCGTTCGGGAGAATTTTGTTGTAGAGAACCCCTATAAAATGGGGAGAAAAAAAATTCCTTATACTGTACTGAGAAAAACGTAGTAGGGAGAGTCCACCTGCATTACAGTACTTCCCGTGCATATTTTCTCCGCGTTCACGCGATAGCCGTTAAAAAATGCTAAGCAGAGGATTATCAATAAAGTAAAATTTGCGGTACTAGAAAAGAAAGCGACTCACGAAAATCTCTCGAAAATCAACGCAATCCGTCTACACACCTGGAAGTGAAGAAGGTGCAATTCAAGTTGCCCAAGTCGTGATACACAGTACCACCGCCGGAATTGCGTCTCGCAATCGGAATTCGTTTCTCGGCGCAAAAGTCAGCGTTCGCCTCAACCCACGGGTTCTGATGCCGACCAACAACCACACACGGCGAATTCCTCCACAAAAGCAGTGCCCGGGAATTCTTGAAATCGCCTTGCTTGTACAACCAGTCTTCCAGGGCAAGATTCGTGAACACATCGTTCGATTGGCTGATATAAACGAGCTTCTTCAACGGCTCAGCTTCCTTACTGACGCCCGCTGCGAACGATCTCCTCCCCGTAAAAAACGCAGTTCCGGGCAACAGTTTCACGCTCCTCATCGTGCACAACATCCTCGGTTCCGGAAGATGCTTCAACAAAAGATTGCTAAAACAGCAGGTGCGACAGTTCAAAGAGAAGGAGAGGGAGACACGTGGCGTCCTTAGCTCAACAGCTACAAGAAATCAGGATGGATTTAGCCACGATGAAATCGTGGATTGCCAGGGTCAAGTGGAGCCACTTCCAGGTTTGATGCAACATTGAAAGATTTCCAGTCCCTTTTGGCAAAACTCGTTCCTCCGCGTCGATTTTTCGGTTAAAGTACACCCGCGAGCCGCAAAAATCGAACTGAACGAAAGAACGAACAAAAAGGAAATGAAGTTGCACCACGTCGTCTCCTGACGTAACAAAGAGAAAGAAACACGGTCAAATCGTTCAAAATTCCGGGAACACTTCACTTAGCGATGTCACTGAGCAAATGACAATTCACCAACCAAACCGTCCACTTCGTCTCCCACTAGGACCGGTGATGTACTGACGAACGTTAGACTTGCCCCCAGGGGGTTTTTATCTCGATTCCGGAGACACAGACGCTCATAAAAACGGTGTAACACGAGCGGTGGAAAACTTTGTCATCACGACAACGCGTCTCCGAAACCTAGACTATTCTCCATGATTCACTATGCAATTTGATGAAGCATCTACCTCATTGAATTATTACAAGAAATGTTGCATGATGAGTAATTCAAGTTCACCCATGCTCCGGTTCTTGAAATCGGGATGAATAAGAAAAAATTCGTCCAACCGTTGAAGGGTTACGTTCTGCTGGTAATATTCGTTATACAGTAAAGTACTGAGCAATTGAATCACTCCGCATCACGCTGGCCATTTAGTGATGAATTCGAAATAAAACCCGATTACGTATTGCTCATCGAAAAAAATTTCAGAAAAGACGTTTGGTTCCTCACCAAGAAGTGAGAATGGACAAAAAGATCAATTCTGGCACAACTGAAACAACAGTACGATATTCTTGCATTTCCATGAAAATTTCGTAGAGCTACAATAATTGGTCATTCCAATGCAGCCGAGACCGAAAGAAAAATTGGGTTTTCCTTTCGAATACAAAAGCTCAAGCCATTCCACAGATACTACAGTAAAAGCATCAGTCTAGCTTATTCTGGTCTCCTGCTCTCATCATTAAAGCATGAGTAACAATTACTGTATAACGATCACAAATTATCCTCTTCCGCATCCATGAAATTACGAAGACTCCTCTTTCTAAGAATATTCTGATACGAATATCTTCCTGGGTGCGTTGGATGCATTTTCCTTCAAGAGTCCGTTGTGAATGATTTAATGTATTCCCAACTTCCATCAACTTCAAACTGTGTATTTGTCCTAGTTTTCGGCAAAAAGTTGATAATTTCACATTTATTAGCGTGACATACAGTCGGAAAATCCAAATGAGTTTGTGCTCCGAAATTCTCGATCTTCAAGGACATGACGAGAGAGTATTGAATCTTTCTATCCTATTTTCCTAAATTTTCGGAAAATTCTGAAGGACGTTATACTTCAAAAACTTGCTAAAAGTTGACCCTTTTCACATGATGACTCTTTTCACTGTTTCGGGGTCAAAAAAGTCATTACATGAAACAAATTTGTTATGAGTCCCTTTTCCCCGTATCAAATTTCGTGAAGTCAAATTTTCATTGGAAGGGTCTTTTTGTTAAGCCGGGACTTACTGTACACATAATATATCTTTCTCTCCCTCCCTACAAAACATTTTTTTATAAAAAATTTTCTCTGCAAACGAATTTCGATCGGTCCTCTACGCTATCATTCCATAGGGGTTTATGCATTCATTTCGAGGCCATTCCAGCCCCAGGTCGTCCCAGTTCCGCATCCCGGGGGTGAGGAGAGACTCGGGGAACTCGACCATCCCTGTTACACCAACTCAGCGCAAGGAGACAATGGCATGCAAACTCACCGCTGGGCACCCGGCAACCGAGCGGGCAAGTCATGCATACAGCGCGTGATTCCTGCCTTCTGAAGCAGTCAACACGTGTCTGAGGATATCTCGCAGCGGTCAGGAAGGAAAGATCTCGCTGCCAACAGAACGGTCTACTACACTCCCCAAAATTTATTTTTTTTCCTCACAGAACGTTCTCTGTCCCACAGCCAGGAAGTATTTAGTCAGGTTCACAGCAGAAACCTTGCCAGAAGGTTCATTGATAGAGAGCTGAATAGGGAAATCCGTCAATATCCTGCTTAGTGCGGAACACTTCTTGAAGCTGTCCCTGCTCTTTTCCATTATTTTCAACGCATGAACATAATCAGCACTCCAAAGTGCATAACTAAGCTATACAAATTTAGTATATAACATAAGTCAAGTTAACTCTACATCAAACAAAGCCAAGTTCAACTTACACTAAGAACCTGGCTAAGTTGAACTTATACAATACCAGGTTAACCTGAAGTATACAAAAAGCAAACTTATACTGTACTTACATTAAGCCAATTTTTTTATACTGTGCCCAGTCAAATAAAAGTTGAACAAAACTGAGTAACTTTAACTAAGACAACTTTAACTTGTACAGTTACTATAAGTTGATTTGAAGTTACACAAAGCCAACTTCAACTAAGCTAACATTAAGCTAACTTTGAGTTATATAAAGTTCAACTTATACAAAACCAACATTCACTCATACCAAGCTAACTTTAACTTGTACCACCCTAATTTCAACTAGTACCAACCTAATCTCGACTTGCACCAAGCTGACTTCAACTTGTACAAAGTTAACTGTAACTTGTTATCTTAAATGGAGACTCTGGGAATTCGACCATCCCTGTTACACTCACTCAGCACAAGGAGACAATGGCATGCAAACTCACTTCTGGCAGTGTTGGGCACCCGGCAAACAAGCAGAAAAGTCATGCATACAGCGCATGATTCCTGCCTTCTGAATCAGTCAAAAGGTGTTCAAGGATATATCCCAGCAGTCTGGAAGGAAAGTTCTTGCCAACAGAATGGTCTACTTTAAGGAAACTCACCTTACCTCACACCAACTATCCTAGCTTAGCAAAACTAACAAAATTGTACCTGGAAAACCAGACAAGCAGAAACAAATTCTTCATTAACATCTTTGAAGATTCAATGAAAGTAGTTCAATGACAGCACTGAACATTTGATCTTAGATTTGAGACCCATTTTGCATGTCTTTTTCTATTTGTGTCCAATCCAACAGATGGTCCTTGACTGATACACATTGCCTTAAAATTTTTCCTGCTCCACTGATAATCTCCTAAATGCTCACTCTTTTCTTCTCACTCTCATAGGGTTTGTTATCCATCAGGATTTAGAAAAAAATGCAAACCAGATGATTAGGTCTTCAATGCATGATCTTTTTGCATGTACAGTATCATGCAAGTTGATCCCATCCCATCCCACCAGAAATTTCTTCATTTACATATTTTTTTGGAAACATTCTTTGAATTTTGCTGTGAGGAGAGTCAACTTGTACATTACCTGTATAAGTGGGTTTTGAACATTGAACATTTTTTGAAGCATGCTTACAAAGTTCAAAAACTTGCTGTAAAATTCCCAATTTCTTGTGTTTCAAATTTTGAATGAAAAACACATACACTCTCATTGAATCCTGGTGGCAAACATGCACTGTACCTACAATTTTCAATTGATGGATTAGGAAAACTCTAGCCATGCCTCATCTCAGACTGGACCTGAACTCCAGTTTGACTTGATTGACTTGAAATTGATTTGAAAATTCCTTATAGCCAGGGAGATAAGATCCCATGAGAGAAAAATTGCAGCAGTCCAAAAATTGTGCGAGTCTCATAAATGCACAGGTATAAAAGTCTTGCCAGGTCCAAAAATCAGGAATGAAGATCAGAGTACTGTATTATAAAATTATATGGGTGTGTTTTTTTAGGGAACTTGACTTCCCCAATTATGTTTTGAGTTTTTACATTTTTATGATCACACCACATGCAAATGGCATGATTCCCAAATGGGGCTAACAGCAGATGGCAGGTAAATTTTTTATTTTATTTTACAGAAATTGTTTGAAATGGGGCTTTTTTCACATAACATTCTATTTTTGATATAGAATGTATTTGCAACAAAAATGCAAGGAAAATTATTAAATTTGTTTTCCCTTGTTTTCTTATACATTTGTTTATGATTTGCAAAAGAATTTTCTATCAATATTTTTTTCAGATGCTTATAAAATGTTTGCATTTTGCCCAGAAACCCATCTAGCATGTAGTGAAGTAGAATCAAGCAAAAACAAGTTCAGGGGAAATTTGCCAGCTCATGGGCTAAACTAACTTCAATGATTGCATGATTTGTTCAAATTGCAATATAAACAGGATATATGGAAAGTGATGCAGCAAATGTTTGTATGACATTTCTTTAAAAACAGTTGAAAGGCATAGAACAAGAGGGGTGGGGGGAGGCTGGAATGCATTTTTTAGTTTACAGTATCAAATGTGTAAGTAAATTCTCTGTAAGGTAATTGCAATGCTTTAGCACAGTGCATGTGTGCCATTAAATCATTCTTCTTCTGTGGCTTCAGTACAAGCTGCTAAATGAAATTTAAATTTGGATTCAATGGTTTGATTCCCTCTCCACCCAAGTCTTTTCCAAGAATTTGGCACACAGAATCAGTTAGTTTACTGCAATTGGTCAAAAATAAAATCTGGTAAACTGTATGGCCAAAATGCTCCTTATGTACTTTCCAAATACTCATTTTTATGTCCTGCATTGAAATGTGTCACTTCAGATGCAAAGTTGAACTGTGAAAATCATAAGGAACAGTCACAGTTTAACAATTCTGGAATGAATGTCCAGCAGAATTTTTGGATACTGCATGATTTCTAAGCTTATGGGATTATCAGATGGGATTGACAGCATTTTTTTCAATGGAATATCATCACCAAGGCCATGATACATTTTTGAAAATGAGTTTAAAAAGTTGTGACCTACAATTTCACAACTTCATAAACCACCCTTTTTCATTCCTTTCAAATTAATCGTTTTTGGACCAGTGGTATTTTGGAAAATCCCCGGAGTATCCAACTCTTAGAATTTCTTAGTTCCAATTTTTTCTGCGGTATTTTCAGACCAGCGGGATTTTTGGAAAATCAGGGGAGTTATCAGACTTAGGACTGCCACATTTCCCCCCTCCTCCCCCATAGAATTTAATCACTGAGGCTATGATAAATTGTTAAAAACAAAAAACATGCTGCAGGATATTTTCGAGGCAAATTAAAAGAAAATAAAAAAAGATTTCTGGGCTGCGGGATATTTTTGAGGCAGCCCATCGCCGATTTTTACCACCAATTTTTACTGAAGTACTGTTGGTAAGCCTGATTCTTGTCAACATTGTGGAACAGCGCCGAAGAAGATTGAAAAGGCTTGAGCCCTTCACAGCTGGTTTTCCACTCGTTCGATACGACATTTTTTCAAACACACAAGGTCTTCGAGATAACTTTCCCCGGCAACACCCATCAGCTGAGGCGATCAAAACTGATCAGATGAACGGTTCTTTCCATGAAGGAGGGACGAAATGAAAAAAAAATACAGAGGATCTTCACGATCAGCTGATAAACGATAGATAAAATTCTGTGAATACAAAAACATGTTACGTAATGAAATTCACGGCGAAAACAAAAGCGCTTCGTCCAAGAAAATTCGCAGTTCAAACATCGAAGACTGGGTAAAGGGTCCGCACAGCTTGCTGGTACGTAAGAAATGTGTAAGGACTTAATGACACCCAAGTTCCATGAAGAGAGTTGAATGAAAAATCTGTAACCCGTATTCCCCTTGATTCCGTGAGTAAACTAGCAAAAAAATAGCAATTTCAAAACTTTATCCACAATTACTTTTTTCATTAGATGTCTGCATCTAACAATTGAAGCCTGAGAGGTTAGGCAATTAATGAACAGGATGGAAGTCAAGGATGGGAATAAAAGCGAGCTATCATTCATCACTCACGAGTCTACTTTATTATCTCTAGGTAAATTCAGTCAAGTTCTGAAAAAACCGCTCCCGCGTGAAACTTCATTTCCAATGGAAATGTACTTGAACCTTCACCAATTTGAAGAAAATTTCTCTACATCCTATACAACTGAATATAAATTTAAAAGGGCTGAAAGGCAATTCTTTTTCAGAAAACCGAAGTCTTTGGCACAAGAAAAAAACAGGGCTGAACATTTTATCTTGTGCCAATGAATTTTTTCTTCCCTGAACAATGGTTATTTTTCAGCTTGAACTAAACTTGAACGAAACGCTCTTATCGCCACAAAAAAATAACAGGTGAACGCGGAAACAGTTTCCAAAGATCGTTGGATTCTTCTTTCGAAACACAAACTCAACGACGATTGCACGAGGAATCAAGTAAGTCTATTACAAAAACACTGCGCACTTATTCCAGAGAATGCCAATCAACGTTGTCATGAACCTTGAGGACATCATCAATCCCTTCTAAGCCTTCTATCAACTTGGTCAACATTTTCACACTTCCCTCGTCGGTGATCGGCACCCGAGACAGCGGCGTATAAGCCGATTCCGCGTAGAACACGTCAAAGCCAGCTTCACTCACTTTCTTCCTCACGTTGTCCACGTCGTCTGGGGAACACTTGAACCAAGCCACAATCACCTCCTTCTCCTGAGTCAAGTCTTCCTCAACCCCAGCGTCTTCCGCACCGAACTCAATCGCGTGATCCAAAATCCGTTCGGAAACGGCGTTCAAATCAGACGCGGGAAAAGGAGCAGTTGTGGTACCTACACCCTGTAACAGCGATTCTGGAACCGACGCATGGATCATCCCCTCGTATTCAAACAACCGTCGCACGCTCGAGTCTGCAAGAACTGCCCTAGGATTCACAGGGAAAATGAAAAATGTTGAAATTAAACGGTATTCCTTACAACGGAATTATATTCTCTGGCATCGATGCAGTAAATTGTTCAACTCCATGAAATTACGTGCTCCATCCATCAAATCTGCTTCCGCAAGAATAGGTCCCCAACGAAATAATGCCCGGCTGGGTCTTTGACGAAGCAGTAAAGGGACCGGAGGCAAGAAGTCCCCGAGGGTTAGGTAGGTCAACAAGAAGAATGGGTGAGCTCCGTTTTATTCGATATGCGTTAAAAGAACTTTATTTACAGAAGAAAAATCGACTTTGTAGACTCGTGAGTTTTACTCTTCAAAAAGATTATTCACGTCATTTTCAGAGTTTTAAATTTCAAAAAGAACACTGCAGCAGCAACACAATATTCTGAAACCAAGATTTTCAAGGAATGCACCATTCTAGCAAATATTTCTAGATTTTTTGGGCTTGTCCAGTCCATGTGTAACTAAATCTGCGTGCCGAGTGAACATCACTCCCTCAGCTGTTGGCCCTACAGCCCGGCTTACTCCGGGGACTTTTTGTCGCTGGTCCATTTTCTTGCCCGTCCCCAGAACTTTTTTTCCCGGGTCCCTTTTTGTTGAGGACAAATCCTCCGGGCGCAATGAAACTCGTGTGAGCAAAAAGTGGAGACATCTTGAGCAAGAAACGCGTCATAGTCTTCAGGGGACGAAGTGCGGCCTGTAGTCAGATATACTCCTACTCGAATATAAGCACCCATTTCTTGGCAATTTAGAAGCTCAAGAAATGGGGGCGCTTATACTGGATACGCTAATTTATGGGATTCGCGTAAACATAACAAACCCTTTTTTTTCAATTCCAAATTCATAGGAGCTATCAAAAGGCATGGAAATACTGTACTTCGTCTTCAGTAAAAATATCTATCTACTAAAATTTACAGTATTACCTAGTGTTCAAGTACAGTACAGTAGATTAGTAGAACCTCATTAGAACAAAGCCACACGGCTTATTAAAAAAAAAAAAAAAATTCGGTAGAAATTTTCTCATTCGGCGTTGTAAATATTTGGCGTGGATCTAAAAAAATCGACTCCGTTATAAACAATTATTACTCACAACGTCTACTGTAGTAAGATTTTAAAAAATAAGCGAAGGAATGCCGTATATGTTACAGGTGGCCTTTGCACTTCGTTTTCGCAACTTCACATTCTTCCAAGGGAAAACATGAATTTATTCAGAAATGTTAGGTTCCTGGAAGGCCAGAACGTCTGAAAATGACTCACTTTGTTTTGTTGAGCACGACTTGCATGCTTTGCTTGCTTCGCCTTAGATTATTCGTAAGGAGATCGACAATCAGAAAAACTCCAGACGGGCCTCTGACTTCGAGTACATACGGCTTCGCATCGTCGCCTTCTGCCTTTTTCAGCGCCTGTTCCATGGAACTCACGGGAACACCATTACTACGGGCTCGATCCATCGCGTTCGCGAGCACGGAGTTGATCACAGGATTCGGACTTCCGCCATCTGCACAATGCGTCGAACGTCAACTGAGTCCAAAAAACTTCCCTCTCATATAACTCAATGATAGTCGGACCTTGCCACCATCTCAAACTATGGAATACTCTTACGCATCCTTTCATCTTTTCGTACAGCTTTTTCAACTTCGTTTTCTTTTCGGAGCGAAAGACAAGTCCGACTTTCACGGTAAGGTGTCTAAAGAGTATTAGCTTGAACGAATTACGCACAGGAAAGGTAATTCAATATATTTGGTGATACTGTACACTAATGAAATTCTAAATTTCAGAAAATAGATACACGCAAGAAAGCAGACATTATTTCATGTATGAAGTCTACTCAGAACACGATCGACCAACTTCTGCCTCATGCTAGCTAGGGTACCCGAAAGGAATTTAAAAGGACATGGAAGTGGATTAAAAAGAAATCAGTGTTGGATAAAATGTTGATGTGCATACGTAAGACAAATAACTACAATAATTATGGAGTAATCATGTCTCAAGTATGGTGATTATCAAGTAAACGGTATCACCGTAAATGGATTTAGGAAGCCCTGATCGACGTTCTATAATCCTAATTTTCAACATACAGGTGGACACTTGCTACAACAAAATTCAAGGGACCAAAAAACAATTCGTTGCAGAAATAAGTACTGTAGGTCGTAAAGAATCCCAATAACATCGGGAGAGGCCTTTACGGGACTAAAAAACATTTCCTTATACAGAGAATACTGTTCTAGACACGATTACTGCGCGGAGTTCACCTGCATTACCAGGTGCAAGGTCATTCTGTCCACCCAAGCGACTATCAATTGGAAGAAATCAAGAAACTAAAATTATATCACTTCCGAATATCAAGAGAGCAGCTAGCTGGACCAAAAAAATAGTGCTACAGTTCAATTTTTGAAGAAAAGAATGGTTCCTTCTTCGTTCGTAAAAATACCGATTGAGAGCGAAAGAATAGGAGAAATAGAAAGAACTCCGTAACGTGGTGAATGGTTTGAAGAATGTCCCGCTCGAGGATTTCACCTTCAATATCAATATCGGCAGTGATAACAGTTGTTCAGTTGAACACATACCTCGAACTGCTTTCTTTATCGCATACACGTGCCTCTGGATCATCTTCGCTCTCTCCTGGTCCTTGGCTGCTTTGGTATGTCGAATGTTCTGCCATTTGCTGTGGCCCGCTCCAACCGCCGCTGTCACACAGAAGAGCCTCTGGCAACTTTCATTCAATGGCACAAAGCTTCCATAAGCTGACGTTCGAGACAACAGACTGGCACGTAAAAGCGAAGCTAAATTCATGGTTTCCTGTTTCAGCACGATTTCAATCGGTGTTCGCGATACTTCAAACGACTATCTCATCATGTCAACCTGGAAATAAAGAAAAATACACTGAGTGCAAGGAAATTTTCAACACTACAGCTCTTAGCTTTCTTCCAGAAAATTTTTCGGATTATTACAAGTATGTAGTCACTTCGCAATCTCGCAAAACGAGGTAAAATTTTGCTTATCACAACTTTCACTGAATAAATTCAGAGATTTCTCCGCACACAAATAAAATGAAAAAAAAAATCCTCAACACTTCCGTTGTTGAACGAATGCCTGAATTTTCCGTTTTCCATAAAAAGACGAGATCACTCGACTCACAAGGGATTTCATGATGCCTGAGATCCTTCATCGCAGCAGGATACTGACGAAATGTATGCGATGAACACATGCATGATCCATCACCCGGAAATCACCGACTTTTTTGGGAATTTTCGAGTCAACCATCGGTAGGTTGATAAGGCATGATTTGAGCTCTTTTCCGCGAGATGAAAATCAAGCGAAGAAAATACAAAGCTTTCCGTTTGATGCAAGAATCGCATCGCTTCCACTTTGAACGTCAGATCAATGTGACAAGAGATCATCAGGCACAAGCGTCATTCTTGCTGGATTCAGCACGCTTTACGCAGTGATTTAAGCGCTACGAGATCCAAAAAATATGAGCATTCAGGGATCCCTGAGTCAGCATTACGTGAAGTGAAGAGAAATTTCTATGTCTTTCAGGTGAAATTTGTGCGACTCGTTCACTTCGTTTTCAACATCGAACGACAAGAAAGAAATTCTACATTCTTCCCATTATCTCACGACGACTCTCTCATAAGAAAAAAATTGTGGTGAGGATGCTAATAATCCCCTAGTATTCTCCAGGCACCAGAAAAAAATGCAAAGCCTGAAAAAAGCAGCACGTTTTTCCTTCCTTCTCTTGAAGGTTGAACGCCTATGTCTGTACGGATGATTTCATGACTTTCCCTCTTTTCATACACTTCCACGACTTCAATTTTACGATTGGACGTTCATTATTTTCCGGTATCATAACAAAATTGCGGATTTAACATCTGAAGTGGGTAACTCCTCGAACATGCACCCTTTTCTAATAAGACGGCCAAGAACAAGTCAACAATCACTTAGATATCCAATGCTGCCGAGGTCCACTTCGGGACTCTCAAGCTCTAGCATGGCCCGTAAAGCTTTGACGAAGAAGGAATTCTTTTCCTTCGGCCCATAAACCCATAGTCTTGCCTCAACTCCCACAAACGGAGTGTTGGCGGGTGAAACCTTCAACGTGATGTTCGCTGCTTTCTCCAAATTCTCAAGTAACTCACGCCCTTTTTCACCTAAAAAAAATAATGCCAGAAAAATGCATGCATGCCATGAACAAACACACGATGGACGATATGATTTCACACATTCGCTCTTCTCCAATTTTAAAGCACGAAGAAGAACGAACCTTCGAGTCTAGAGAAGTCATCACCCGAAAGCGGTAAAAAATCTGACGCAACATCAGACTCGCCAACGAATATTGTTTCTCCGCTTTTCGCTCGTCCTGGTTTGTTTGTCCACACCCTAGCGACAACATTCTTCCCTTTCTGAGTTGTATCCACAGGATTCGGTAATTGCAGCTGATTATTCATAGAAGGACACATTTGGGAGAAGTTCGTTAAGGCAAGCATGCCTTTCTCCGATAGAATCGCGATCGCTCCGATTGCAGCGGCAGCATCCAAGCCAGAAAAATTGAGGACCGTCATGTGAGCATGAATACTCTTCAAGAGACTCTCTGACACGATTCCTTTCCTTCCTTTTGTGGTCGACACCAAGAATTCTATCCCTAGAACATAAGGAATCCATGATTTGAGAAATTTCCCAGCTTGGTTCCCAACACGAAACTGGAAGGATTCGGAAATTACTTTGAAAGTTTGCATTGCGAAATGCGTTGCCTTCCAAAATAAATAAAGAATAAGAATTATGAGAAATAGCGGGGCACCAAGATGCGGACGTAATTGGTGCTTGTACATTGTCCGTATGTCGGAACGCCCGTATTGCGGGTCACGCTTCCCCTTGGACTTCCACGAAATTACATTAATTGGTTCTGCTGTTGATCAAAAATCTGGAAACGGCCCCCAAAAATTGAATACAATACTGTATTTTTCCAACTTCAAGATACAAAATATAACAGCGCAGAAAACCACACATAATCTGATTTTTTAGCAGGGAAAGGAGAAAAAAAGCAAAGCACGAGCACCCACCTTCCTAAATGCGTTCAGATAATGGAAAGAACTTCGAATAAAGGAGCAAATGATAGGCCCGTTTCCTATTATGAATTAAAATGACTTAATAATAAAGTTCACTTTTAATTCTGTGAATATAAAAAGATAATTTTTCTCCATGGAATTTTTCTATTTGTTTAGGAATGCTGGTGAAGCGTCCGTATCTTGAGACATTGCTGTTATCGGGGCAGATTTTGTAAGTTACCAAGTGTCTCCAAGTCGAATCGTCAGTATGTTGGGGTGTCCGGATGTCGGAGCCCCGCCGTACTCTATGCGGGTCCCTAGTTGACTTTCCAATCATAAAATGCAGGACTACTGTCTCTTCCTCCCATTATTCGTTCACCTCGGGATATTCTTCTCATTCTCATCAATTGTAAACTCAAGAGCCAGAAATCAAGAGAAAATTAGCGGACCTCGTCTGTCCGTGAACTGCATTTCCCTGCGAAGTTCAATATTTTTCGCGAATACAGGTACACTGCAATACGAATTTTTAAACCGAAATGCCAGTTCAGAATCAGGGTGCGGTTCACAATCGCGTCAATACAGCGACGTCGTGTATCGCAAAAAAGGTAGGGACGACTTAAAACACACATCGATCGTTCCCATACAACCCTTTCAAAAAAACGAAATACCGTAACCCAACAAGATCAAACTAACCGTAATCGAATGGGCTGCACGCAACAGCGAGAGACTTGCTCATACAAAGCCCATTTTGCTGCTCATGACTGGCCAGTGTCGGCTCCGTAAAAATGTACGAAACCCCAACTGTGGCCCATTCGTCGTGCAAGACAGTGGCAAAATGATGAACGACACTCTCCGCATCGACCAAGCATCCTGAAAAAAATATGGAGAAAATGTTTCTTGCATTCAGTTCAAGACAGCATCCATAAAAATCCAGCAATTTATTTGATATTGTGCGGATGGTGGTTTAATCGTACAATGGTGCTTTTTGGTAGGTACAGAAGTTGGTCCATCTATCTAAGCAGACTTCGATCAAGTTCAACTGGACCAGGTAAAGAATCATCCAGATAAGCTAAATTAGTTTATCCACATAAATACCTGTCCGGTTAACTGGACAGGTGACACCAGTCCGACATTGAGAAAACAACGTAAGACGTGACACTCAGAAGAAGTTTTCGATGAGCTGCATTGAATTGCGCATATGGCGTTTGTTCCACATTGAAAGATAGTTTTTCAGTCAGAACTCACCTAATGCAAAAAGGACAGAACAGGAAGACTGACAACAGGTCAAATCTTGCAGAATGTAAAAACTAACTTTCGCACGTCACACAATTTAAAGCTGGATCAAAAATCTAATTGTTTTGTCACCTAGTAATCTTCCAAGAAAATGAGCATAATTTTCGGCGCTTGGCATCAACAAAATTTCTCAACTAATAGTATACCCCTCCTATACAAGACTAATGAGCAATCGCGAACCTTTGATGATGAGACACTTCTCTTTCTCAGTGCCAATACCGGGTTCGGAGACTTGAACATCCACCTTGAACTGCGACGGTATGTTGCGAACATTCTTCCCAAATTTTCCGATGATTCTTCCAACTGACTGTCCCGGGACAACCATAAAGATCTGCAGAAGACCAAAATAGAAGTTATGAAACCCTGTCAAAAAAAAAAAACATCGTCTTCAAAATCAACAGGACATGGTACACCACAGATATAAAGTTGATCTTCACAAGGATCATCAGTTGAAACTCATTAAAAAAACATTTATCCTCAAAAACTAAGTTTCCATTCCTAAATTCCACATTTATTTCGCATTGAACACACGTATTTAAGGCTAGCCTTTTAAAGGAAATAGCTTCAACAGTAAAATTCGGAGATTAAAAATTAATTCTAAATGACCATCTACGTATTTTGAAATCGCACGGCTCTTTCGCACTGTGAACGGGCAGAAATTTTAATTCGCACTCACGAACATGTCAGCTTCCTCGTCCACGACGTAGTCTCTTTCGTTGATCGTTGCCAATCGATTATGCAACTTGAGGCTCGTGATTTCAATGATGCATCGCGCACAGTGTATTACAGCATCTCGACTTCCTTTAATGACGCAAACTCTGGAGGTAGTCCCTGGGAAATATTCACTCCCTTTGGACATCCACAACTGTGCACCAGATTTCTGCTTCAGCCATACCAAGGTCTCTCCACCTTGTCCAATGATGGACCCAGCAACGTGGGACTGAATCAGCAACTTCAGCAGGTATTCGCTCTCTGAAGACAGAAGGTTAATCGGGTCTAGGTAATTATTCCCTATCAAATAATTTACTTTGACAGGCTCAATACGATCTTCATTTTTGGCAAGAAACGACAGGAACAGCCAAAAACCACAAGCTGAAAAAATTATCATATTGCCGATCATCATATTGCTTGTAGCGCCGAATCTCATCATATTTTCTACCTCGCATAAAACAATACCGAATTTGCGCGGAAAAACATACATGCACATATCGTAATCAATTTCTCCCATTCAAGAAGGAGGTAGTCAGGTTTATATATTTTAGACATGATGGTTTACCAACCTCGCATTTCTATTTTTTGGTTCATTTTCTTCATTCTAAAAGCCAAAAAGAACCCTGAAACCCAAAAAGCCTAAAAAAAATTCTTCGTACAGTACCTCACGACGCGTCAAAACGAGCCAAAATTCGATTGATACCTGTGCTTCTGCATTGAAAAATCAAATCACGGTTTAGGCGTTTGGCATCTCGAGGTCTATTTCATTAGCTCTTCGAACGAACAATTCTCACCAAATAAGCGTCGTATCTTCTGTGTCATGTCCCGAGTTTGCTCACAGTCGTCCAAACTCCGTTTCGAACCTTGGTCCATCGAAAAAAATTTGCAAAAAAGCGGTATATTCACAGGTTTCTGTGGGAAAATAAAACAAATCTCGTTCGTAAGCACGTTTTTTTTTTCGGAGGACGAAACGTGGCTTGCAGAAATCAAATCAAATGGAAAAAAATTCTCACGGCACAAAAAATACTCCTTAATTATTCCCTATGATTTCAAACACAGTCCCAAACACAACTCTGTTCCACAGCGGAACAGATGCAGAGGTACCAACTCTTTTTTTTTCCTCTGCAAAAAAATCCCCAAAAAACAAGATACATCATGGCAAGTGTCGACAACTGGGAAAGAACCAGAATGAGGATTTTTTCAAGAACACCCGCACGTCCAACTGACCACAAACCAAGTGAATGGATTTCTATAAAGCCTCTCGAATGACGATTGGAACCAAAATGCAGGCCTAGTTGTTCCTCATTCGAGTCATGAGATTCTCAAATTCTCTAAGCGATCAGGTAAAACTCAGTGTGAATCCAACGATCCTTGGCATAAGTCAGTCGCATTCGAGCCAACGAAAGAACGGAATTGGAGGTTTAGCATTTACAATCACAGCTGCCCAGTGCACATTTTTCCTTTTTTTTGTCGCTTGAAGCATACTCCAAAACAATCAGACACAGGTTATACCTAATGATTAAGCAGTTCTGGTCAAGTTTTCCAGGGCCGCGAGAGCGATTAGCCGATAGGAAGTACTTGCGTCATTCAAAATCTTCAACAATGGAACAAGTTTAAACCTGGCACGGCAAAATTTGTGCCTCAACAAAGTTGCCTCTTGAATTTCTCGTCAAAAGCCCCTCTTATTGCGAACAAGAATGCAATACTAAAAGCTCCCGTGTTCAGCACCCATCTAAGCAGAATTAAAAGGAAGGAAGTGCTACGTTCGTCTACAACCCACATTTGCCTAAGTACAAATATTCACGTCAAATGGTCTTGCACGGGTAGGGGTAACCCTTAAAAAAAAAAAAAAAAAAACAATGCCTCTACTGGGAATGAACTACGAAGAAGTAGGCTTTGGTTTGCAAACCCGGAAGGCGCAGATTAAATTTATCCGGAACTATTTCAGAACCGTGGTTCATCTGCGTTCTTGTTGGCATCGGAACCTCGATCGGTCTTCGGGGAACCCCCTTTGAGCCCATTGAGCAACGAGAGGAGCGTCGGGTCTGCAGGCAAAGGCCGTCTTGGCCAAGACTCGGCGCCCGCGACAGCCTTCGACATTTCTGATATCTCCAGCAATTCCTTCGCCATGGGATAGAGTTTCTGCTCGATCCACTCGATCACCGTGGCGTTGTCGAAGATCGGCGAGAGTTCCTTTTCCGCGTCGTTCATCAGAAAGTTAACTTCGGATCTCAGCATATTGAATTCCCACGAGAATTCATCAATGCGACTTGGACTGAAAAAGATCAATCAATGAGATTCAGATTGCAGGAGCGTAAAAATACTTTCCAAAACAAAAGGTCATGAATGAAATCTAAATTTCCGTGGAAAAGTGGTCGCAATCCATGTTATCCGAGTAAAAAATAATTTTATTTTTCCAGTGGGGCCCTGACCTGCGGAATCTCCGATACATGGATGATTCAACTTAGGGGCACTAAATGCTAAAAAGCCTTCCCTGGCATTCAGAAAATGCTTCAAGATACAGACACTTAACCAGCTTCTCCAGATAAATGGAAAAATTCAATTTTAAACTTTTGATACATGTTATCTTAACAAACTGACCTTGCTGTACTCAGAAAAGAATTCCATTAAAAATGTACTGCAATACATAATCTGAAAAGGTTTAATTTTGCGTTTCCTTTTATAGAATTCTTTCCATCATCTTTGCACGGTATAGGAAAACTTGGGCTTGTTCTTTGCTTACTGGGCTCCTTTTAAAGCCTGAACAGATTATGCGTGCTTTTCTTCTGCACTGTTATTTTCTGTATCTAGAAGTTGAGAACCATTTTAATTAGATTTTTCGGGGGACTAATTAATTTTCTGTCAAAAGAAGAACCAATAGAATATATTTTCATAGAATCATAAGAAAAACGTGATCCGGCATGTGGACGTTCCAACATTGAGACTAGGTCCAAACACAGCTCACGTCCGCATCTCGGGGCCCAACTGTATAATCGATGGCGTTGAGCATTGCCTCACTTGTCCGTGAGCGTTTTAAATTGCACACTTAACTTTCCTTTTTCTTGTAACATTTATACATAGTAAAATTTCATACGGAAGTTTACAAGGTATCTGAACCGGATCAGGTGCTTTTTTATAGCTTCTCATCACTCAATTAATGAACCTTCAGGGTAGTCCTGAATCAATTCGTTAGCCTACACAGTACTCGACGGACTTGTGGAACAATGGACTTTGCACTGGAGCTGATGAAATTCACTGCACTTCTATTCAGAATACTGTACAATAATTTTAAATGGGAGGAGCGAATGCATGAACAAGAAATGTTCATCAGGTGATGAGCGTGCTTGGAAATTTAGAGCAAAAAGTCTGACAAGAGAAAGTTCATGAAAAATTACCAAAATAACGAAGCATCCTATGAACAGAAGGCTTATCGAAACATAACAAGTCAGCTACAGTGCAACGATCGCTCTTCGGATTTTAACCATTTCACTTTCAAAAGGAGAAAAAAATTGGGTTTACCTCGTGAACCGATGTCTAACGTTGTAATCAGTAAACCAGCCTTTGGCTTTCAGCTCCGTAACTTTCGTCTTATACGACTCCAGCGTCATCAAATACCGCTTGGCAACTCGCAGGAATTTACTTCCCGGAAACGAGCACATCGACACCAAGCGAAGCATGTTCGGGTCACTTTAAAAAAAAAAAAAAAACACTCATTTCACCTTGAATTCGTCAACAAAAACTCATCAAATGGAACTTACTTGTCCCAATCGAACGTATTCGATGTGTGTGTCGTGTCCCCGAGATGGCATTCGAGCGCGTCCCTGAACCGTTTCTCTTGTCGCGGCCAGTCAAACCCACCATCAGTCACGATCAACAAGTTGAGCAGAAGCGACGGAATTGCCGTCGGTAAGATTTCGCACAACACAGCAAAGTGATCGTATCGTTGCCAGCCAGTCAGCACGAGTCCCTGAAAAATTAATACAAGTGGTACTCGCAACTTTCGTCAACATTAACCTGAATAATGCAATGGTTCAAAAATATTTTCGGACGTCGCGATAACGTAATCACGCGTACAAAACATCACTCGCGATCAAAAGATCTGATGGATTTTAACGAGGAGAGTTACGAGCTATGTTCGTCTTACATATGAAAGTTTCTTTCAATAGCCCAAGAATCGCGAATACCGAAGTTTTCCTTTAAAATAAAACGATACTGGAATACAACCAAATCACATCACTGCTCGGACTAACATGGAAACTAGATTCAAGATGATATCACACACAGAAATTCCACTTCATGTCACACATTTGACCAAGCTAAATTGGACCTCGATTCGTAAGGCCACGAACTTTACGGAGCATTACGTTCGAAAAATGCGGTCAAACCGCTTTCATTCAAATTTCAAGAGAGCAGCAAAAAAATTCGACTTAATGAGCGATCGAGTTAGGGAAACGAGCTCTTTCGTTGGAGAAGAAAGAATTGCAGGAAATCTTAATTGGTCACCTTCCGGTCATTAAATTGCTGCTCAAATGAGTTCACATGATGCCAAGTCCGATACAAGGGTTCATTCAACCAAATAGTGTTTTACTTCCTTTGAAATCAAGCCAAGTTACATTTCACCGCTTTTTTCTTGTCTGTGTCAGTAAAATAATCACCAAAAGAACTCCAGAAAATTCTACTTATGGAGGCTCGAGGAGGAACGCCTTTGAGTCAGTGAGATTTTCAATACAGTACATAGTTTCCATGGGAATTCAGACAGGGACGCGAAAAAATTCAAATTATGGAGGTTCGAGACGTGGACATACAGCTCTACTTGCTAAAAAGCTTCCTCAGATCGAGGAAGAGTTTCTTTTGCACCTGATCAAAAAATGAGCCTCAGTGCATTTCTAAGCACGGAAATGTGTGCACAAATATACTATTGCTGAGAAATTGGTACTCGCACAACTTCCAACTGACTTTTCCAATAATGGACCCCCTTCTCATCTATGGATTTTCTATCAGGCCGAATGAGGAAAAACGAAATCATTACCCTGAAACCCTGCTTGAATTTCCCCTGCTCTCTGGAAATCACGTCGAGCCAGTTGACGTTGTTATCCACGTGGCGTTTCATAGGAGGCACGACCAGGGTCTCTCCGAAAGCACCCTTGAAAGCACTCGCAGCCCACACAGTGGGGAAGACTTCGGCGAACGTGTCGAACACAGATGGGGAAACAAATCGATAAATGTCTTCAGCGTACACCCAAACCATGGGTTCTACGATGTTGCCCAAGTCGTACTCCATCAGGGCAGAAGCTGAATATTGTCGCAACATGTCATCCCAGACGATCGGAATAACGCCGTAAGTATCCCGAACGTAACGTCCGACCACTCGGAGATGACCGAGGAACAAAGCCTCACGCGATTTCTCCCTGTAAGAATATACATAACATTTATTTCTTGATCTGATATGAGCGTCCTGATTACAGGAGAATTTCATCGAGTTCTTCGACTGCCTCCTAATTTCATCAGCTTTTATCCCAAGCTGATCGAAACCCCTGAAGCTTTTTCGAAATCTCACGCTGCATTCTCTAGGAGGGTTTTTAATGCTCTGTGCAGGATAAATATTTAACCAAGTGAAAGAAAGCACGTTCATGAAACAAGAAGCACTCTAATGAGACGATTAGTTCAGAATACATTTAAATGCCCAAAATAACAAGAAAGTAACACACACGAAGATCGGTCACAGTACTTCTCCCTTAGGATACGACAAGCACAAAACGTGACACCCAACGCGTCAGTATAATTACATTTATGGTATACAGATACTGTACTGTAATCCGTTATAAGATAATGAAGCACGTTCATAGTTGGAGAACTCTTCTGCACTAACCGACAAAGTTCGCACTCCCCAAGATGGAAAACTTCATCACAGCCAATGTGCAGGAACTTGATCCCATACCGCACGTGTAAAGCCATGGTTTGATCGATCATCATTTTCACGAGGTCAATCGACGACGGCTTTGAAGGACAAATTGCCTGAGGATTTTTTAGAATTTCTCGCTGTTCCCTGAACTCGTAGTTCTTCAGTGCGAATTCCATGTGACCAAAAGTTTGAACGAGTGGAATGATATCGAGACCCAAAGATTTGGCATGATCAAGTAGTTCTTCCACCTTGAAAACAGAAAAATCCGTTATCTAGTTAAAGAGTAAGTGACTAAAATAAAGTACCTCTTTTTCAGAATAATGGTTTCCGGCTCGAGTCAAATTTGCCAGTCGTCCAGAAAACGGCAACATGTCCTCCCACTCCATCAGAACTCCTGTAGCACCGTGTTTTCGCGCTAGGCTCATGATGGATTTCAAATAATTCACTTTCGGAGCAGCTCCCTTGAGGTCGAAATGCACTATTCGGCTTTCTGGTACAGTTCTCGAGAACTTCCGGAAACCTCCCTGAAAATCCAATGCTCCATGATTTTTCAATGCTTGATAAGCATTACAGTAAACAACTCGGAAACATGAAATATTCCATCATTTTCCAAACAAGGAAGAAAAAAAAATTTCTTTGTTAGTTTTCGACGGCGTCGTAAGTCGGACAAGGAGTCAAGAATTGCACTCGAAGTCCTGATGAATCATGAAGAAGACAGCTTTCTAAATAAAATTCAGCTCCCAAATTCGATCAAGCGGATTCTTTCCGCCGCAGTCCGAACAAGGGAACTGCGATTATAAGCTTGATTTACGCTGGATGTGCTTCAGAAAGCTTGTGACTGAACTATGCGTAGAATCAGCGAACTTCTTCAAGGCATAGAAAAAAAAACAGGTAGGAAAGCGCGTCTCAAATTCGCGGGCGACATAGTTCTCATTTTACAGGGACAAATAGGTTTGATATTATATGGAACTCATGAAATCTAAGAAACTCACCATATCCGCCCTTCCATCATCTACGTTTTCCCAATGAATGGGTGCTCTTCTGTCTGCATGGGAAGCCATGACCACGTTCGGACTTGGATTTCTCACTTCTACCGCTTGTACAATTCGAGGGAATTCTCTCTTTGAGCCTGAACCGCCCCAATGCTCCTCGTTCACTTCTTTCGGAGGGAATTTTACAGCTGAAAATAATATGAGTTATCTGTAAAACTCCGGGCTTCCTTTCAATGATGGCGCAAGCATACCCGGATCTTGATTGAACTCCTTGCTATTCAACTCGAATTCGTCTCTCCTTGTTAAAAATACGACTTTCTTCTCGTCGGGAATAGCTTGTCCAACGTCGTATGCTTCTAGCTGCCGCCTCGATGCAAGAATTTGCTCTGATGAACCTTCAGCTTTTCCGCTGCTTACTCGGCCATTGACGGATGTAGACAGCAAAATATTGAACGTTACAGCACCAAAAATCAAGCACAGGATAACTGTAATTGGGAGCCGCGCTTTCTTGCGGAGAATATGAACGAATCTCATCATTGCTAAGACTTCAGCCCGTCAGCATGTCGTGAACAGAAAGCTGCGGCCCACAGCCCAGATCTGTTTACAAGTCTCGCGCGGAATTCATGTAATTTGGTTACTTAAAAGCCTCTGCGGAAGAAATATAAGTTACTGTCTACCTTCCTAACGCGCGTTCAACAGTTACGCACACATGATATTAAGAATGATTATTTCAAGGATAAAGTCACGAGTCCCGCGCGAAAGTCAAGAAACGCTGGCTCGCGCATTTGCACAAAAAGACGTCAAAGGCTTCCACACAAACACAGTTGTGCGGATCATGATCGAGGAGCAACCGGAGGGGCATGCGTATCGGGGGCACTTTAACTCGAGCTACTGACGAGATACGAGAACACATCTCTGATCTTCTGTTGAGTGTTTTGTGACTGGTGCAGAAATACACCGACGTTATTCAGAATTGATTTGAACCCTTTGACTTCACAGACCTTATTGTATTCATACTTAAACCTCTGTGGTGTAGGAATATTGAACCTCGCATGTTTCTACTTTCTCGAGAACCGTATAGTAAGAGCCTACCCTCACACGTATGCGCGACACCTAGGGGTAACTGGCGCGTCTGTTCATCTATCCCGCCCGGGCGGTCCTTATCGCCCCTGAGATCTGGAGGAGGATCGGAGAACGCGAGCGGATAGCAAGTGGTTCGTCACTTCGTCTTGGACACTTGACATGTGATCATCCATTACCTTTTATATTGTGATTGACCCATAGTGTGACTGTTACCTGGTGCTGACAATAGAGGTCTTCTCTGGCTGACTCTGGTGTTCTCTTCAACTTCCTTATTGGGGGCTGAGCCACCTCCTTTCCACATCTCTCAAAAAATCACAAAGCAATCTTCAGCGCCAGAACAATGCCGAGGAACACGGAGAACTCAAAGGCAGCGGCGGCTGCCCTTTGCCCATTACCCCCTGTTCCAGAAGGCAACAAAGACGACAAGGAATACGATGTGCCCTCCGCGTCACCACGTGAGGACCGGCCCGGATCACATAATTCCTCAGAGTCGACAGCTAGGGTGTGGGAATCTCTACCGCTTACGACGCTCCGGATGCTCGCTGACGCCTACCACCTGGGGCATCCCCCCACGGCAACAAAGGCGCACTACGCAGCACAACTGGATCGTTTCCAGATACCGGTGTCCGCTCTACAAACTCTGTCCAGAGTGAACGAACCACCCGTCGCCCGCTACGAGGATTTTGATGACTACGCACCTCGTCCAGCTCCGCAACGCCCTCAGTGGTTTTTGGATCTGCAGCCCCTGAGCCTACCAAAACAACGACAGGACGAGGATTTCGAAGACTTTGCAACACGCCTAAGGAACGTGTCGGCCGCCGGCAAAATCACCGACGACCATCGAATCAGCGCCATTTTGGAGAACACCCTACCGCAGATTCAGGCTACCGCCAATCGCATCTACAAGAGGGGAGTGAGACGTTAGTCTTCGAAGTTGCCCGCCGTCATCCTACTCCCCATTTGGAACGGCTTAAACATTTCCGAACCATGAGACCGGCTGCGGACGAAAGTTTCTTTGATTTCGGCGAACAACTCCGCGAGGAATATGAAATCTATCTACAATTAAACCCCGACAAAATCGCGGCATCCAAGAACATTTTGCACCACGTCCTTAAGGAGCAACTCATGAATGTCGCGGAAACCGGTCTACGGGAAGAGTTGCAGAAAAAGTGGTCGCAAAACCGGACGATCACGTGGGACAATTTCATCGACATGGCTGAAACATATCAATTAAATCATCCAACCTCATTGAACAATAGTAATTCCGGCAAAACCGGGTCCCGCCAGCGCACGGAGCTCCCTCCAAAGCAGTATTGCGACTTCCACAAAAAGACAATGTGTCACGGCACCCACAAATGCAGATTGCGTCTACGACAAGCCGGTCAATCCACCTCCACCTCGGAGTCGAGTCAGTCTAAATCCTCCGGTTCAACTTCCCATTCTTCGTCGCGAAATATTGCAAATGTTCAGTGTTTTCATTGTCACCAATTTGGTCATTACGCGAATGATTGCCCGCAGACTCAGGGAAACTCCAAAACATCTCAGTGAACGCGGCTCACTGAGGACCTATCTCCCTATCTGCCGCGCCTCCTCCAATCACGCTCCAAATTACTGTTGCGAGTGTTTCCTTTTCAGCCCTTTTTGATACAGGGGCTTTGCATTCATTTATCACAGACGCCATTGTACGCCAGCACGCGCTTCCCACTCGTACATTTCAGACCACCGTTGGCACGGCATTGAGTTCCGAGGCAGTACAAGTGTCAAAGCTCGTTGAACTTTCTTTTGAGTTTCAGGGGACCACACATCAGGGCGCATTTCTTGTTTTACCCGGCATGCGCGAATTCCCGTTCATCTTTGGGCAAACCTTACTTTTGCAGCTTCCCATCACCATCACACTCAACGGTCAGCAAGTGTTCACCGGCTTCCATGATGTCATGCGCGTGCCGTCGCGTCCGTCACTGGACATTGGAACTGGCAATTCTTTTGTGGACGGTACCACAACCGAACGAGCGCAAGTCACTGAGATTCTAACAAAGCACGCGCCTCTATTTAGGCAGTGGTCGGGTTGTCGCGGTTTATTCTCTGAGCATGTTGTCCGTATTCCTACGATAGAAGCTTCACCACCCGCGGCCCGACAGTTCCGCCATTCCATCAAAAGGAATGTACCATTTGCCGAGATAATCGACTCTTACTTAGCTGCAGGTATCCTGGAGCCAGCCGCATCCCCGTATAATGCACCCACGTTTTTAGTGGACAAGAAGTGTGGAGATCCTACAGCCCCCACAGAGAAGCGTTTTCGTCTCGTTGAGGACTACAAGGAACTCAACAAGCTCATCATTCCGGACCACTACCCGATGCCAACCGTACAGGAACTCCTCGAGGCATTGGGACGCAGCAACAGGTATTTTTGCACGCTGGACCTCCACGCGGGTTATCATCACCTGCCCATCGCTCAGGAGGACAGACCGAAGACAGCGTTCATGTCCCCCCGCGGACAGGTACAATATAAGGTTTTACCCTTTGGTCTTAAGACTGGTCCCGCTCTTTTTCAGCAAACAATTAACACCATTCTCCGCCCTTTGCTTTTTAAGAACTGTTTAGCCTATGTTGATGATGTGATAGTGTTTGGTGATTCTTTTGCGACTCTGTGCGAAAATCTGGAACTCGTCCTACACACCCTGCAGGAGGCAGGAGCATGCGTGGACATAATCAAATCGTCCTTTTTAGCACACAAGACCCTCTTTTTAGGATACAAAGTGGACCAAACGGGCAGCCGCCCTGCTGAGCGAAACGTCGAGGCGGTTCGCAACTACCATGTCCCGAAACACGCCGCCACATGCAGCAGTTCCTTGGGATGGCAACCTATCTGAGGGCTCACTTGCCCACAAACTTTGCGGAGTCCAAGAAAGCTCTTCGGCGCATCATACCGCCAAAACCGGCCACAAAACTCGGATGGACACCGGAGGCCGAAGCAGCGTTCCAACACATAAAGGACGTCCTGGCAGATACCGCCCGCTTGGAACGCGTGGACCACTCCTGGCCCATTGCCGTCCACTGCGACGCTTCAGCCATCTCACTGGGCGCAGTCCTGGTGCAAACCGACCCGCACGGCAACGAAAGGGTAATCGAGTATGCAAGTCGAACCTTGAAAGATGCAGAGACCCGTTACTCTAATACCAAGCGCAAATTATTAGCTATAGTGTGGAGCGTAACCAAAAAATTTAGGCATCACCTTGTCCATAGGAAGTTTACAGTTTTTACAGATCACAAGGCGCTGTTGGGGAAGCTACAATCAGAGCGACTGATAGCCCTGCAGACAAAACTGGTGACGTTCGATTTTGACCTGATTCATTGCCCAGGACACACACTGCAGGCCCCCGACGCCCTTAGCCGGATCTCGCTGAACAACGCGGTGGCAAAGGTCCGACCCTCAGAGGACGACAGGGTGAAGATCATTGACGCCTATCACACCAAACTTGGGCACGCCGGATGGAAAAAGGTGTACGTGACCCTGAGAGAACGATTTGAATGGCCCAAGTTACGCCAGGATGTCTGGCAACACATTTTGTGCTGCAACCTGTGTTTCAAATACAATCACCCGACGCAAACCGTTGGCACCCATATGAGTGCAATTGAGTCTAACAGACCACGTGAAAGGCTCGTCATCGATTTTTATGGCCCATTACCCAAGTCCCAGAACTTCAAATATGCCATCATAGCCATCGACCATTTTAGTAAGTACATGATCGCTAAACCAATAGAAGCCGCGGATTCGCAGACTGTCATCCCTTTTTTAGCCGAGGTATTCCGCCAATATGGCGTTTTTGAAATCGTCCATTCGGACTGCGACTCAGCAGTGTTTTCAGGAAATGCCTTTTGTCTTTTTCTTCGGGACAATGGAATCGAACAGCACTTAGCACAACCAACACATCCAGAGGGGAATGGTTGCTGCGAACGTTCAATCAGGACGCTGTCACGCATCCAGGCTAAAGCTGTGCAAGGACAAGACCATCTGTGGGCATCCCACCTTCCAAATTCGGTGAAGGCTTATAACAGCACAATCCACTCAGCCACCGGCGTAACACCAACCGAGGCCATGTTTGGACGTCGGACGGTGTTGGAAGCAGACGAGATCTTTGGGGCACCCACGCTGACCCAGACAAAGGCAACCAAAGTCTTGCAGCAGCGGGCAGAACAACACAGAGAGCAGTTCATCCGTCAAGCCAACAAGAACAAATTACAGCATTTTGAGCCCGGCAATCTCATTGCCATTTTCCCGAGACTACCCACCGTTAATCAACATGCAGCTAATCGTCGTTTTTGTCAACAGCGTATAGGCCCGTTCATGGTGATTTCTTATTTAGGACAGGGCAAATACCACATCGGAGCAGGTCCCGACATACGTCGAGCTAATGCGTGGGAAATGGTACCCTTCAACGGACTTCCATGCCCTCCAGAAAGCGGGTTTGAGAAACAACTCGGACTGATCAACCACGACACGGGAGAAGACACCATCGTCCCATCCAGGGATCACCTGTACGCAGCGAAATCATCAGAAGCTCCTTCAGAACCCCAGCGAGCCACTTCATTGGATCACCCTTACAGCCAAGCCCCGGATTTGCAACCCACCAGTGACTCTGTGATTCGCGATCATCCGTACTTTGGTGGAAATAAGTCTTGGAAGAAGGGAAAGAATCAGAAGCGGCATCTTTTCAAAGGGGGGGAGAGTAAGGGCCTACCCTTACACGTATGCGCGACACCTAGGGGTAACTGGCGCGTCTGTTCATCTATCCCGCCTGGGCGGTCCTTATTGCCCCTGAGATCTGGAGGAGGATCGGAGAACGCGAGCGGATAGCGAGTGGTTTGTCACTTTGTCTTGGACACTTGACATGTGATCATCCATTACCTTTTATATTGTGATTGACCCATAGTGTGACTGTTACCTGGTGCTGACAATAGAGGTCTTCTCTGGCTGACTCTGGTGTTCTCTTCAACTTCCTTATTGTATTCAGCTAACCACGGTCGCAACCCTATCCACTTCTCGGGGCAACCAGGGCTGGATTAAACCACATTTTGGCCTGATGCTGCACAAAAAATGGGCCTAATTCTCCTTTGCAATAAAAAAGCATAATTTTTTGAACACCAGCAAGAAATCACTTCAGAAAAATGTTGAGGCCACCAAAGGCTTTTTGAGTGGGAACAGCAGTGACAAATTTTATCCTGTCAGGCAGCATGGCATGGTTGGAATTGAAATCTTTGATTGAATTTTCTCCTGGCTATGATTCCTTGTCACTGCATCTTCCTGTTTCTGGCCATATTGGCCATGATTTCCTTTTTCTAAGCAGAAATGATTGTGGGCTCTCAACTGATTTTCATCTCCTGCATCTGGTTTCCTCTTCAATGGTTTTTATATGTGCAAGGTGCTGAAATTGATTTCTTGGTGCCTGATTTTTTTCATCATGAAAACTTTTGCCTCTTTCCTGTTTTTGCCAGAGTTTCATAATTGAAAAAAATTTGGATTTCCCAAATTGAGAAATTTTTTCAAATTCTCCCAAGGCCTATTTTTCCTGTGGGCCTAATGCTGCACCATCAATAGCACCCACCTTAATCCAGTCCTGGGTGCAACCAGCGGGCACCATCAACAGACTTCCCATTCGTTACCACGTCAGAGATGAGGAAGCAAAACATTGAGAACTAGATTTCGACGGAATTATCCTAGATGTCACTGTTATATGGAATAACAATATGGAGACGATTCGCGTGATCTTGCACGTCTCCGTACGAACTGAAGTACTGTACATACATGTACAATAATTGCCCCAGTTGAACGTGACCCCTGCTGATATTTATTCTGATTAGCTGTGATTGTAAAGTATGAAAAAACCATGACACTGCTAATGATGTTCTAAAATTTTCTTTAGGATTTCTAAACAAGTTTTTCAATGTATAATGATGAGCTGTAAAAACTTTCCAGAGTTGCAGCAAAAGTGCTCCACCCACAGCTGCTTCACAGCTGGGTGCTCAAAAATGATCACGATAGCTTTAAAAAATCGAATTTTGATTCCTTTAGCCATTATCTAAAACATGGAAAATATAATAGAGAAGCAGTAAAAAAATATTTACAGCTTTCTTGATATAGATTTTAGCCCCCCATAACATGGGTGGAGAACTCATCTATCCATAACTGAAAAATTTGCATTCAAGTACAGTGGCATCTTGGCTTAAAAACTTAATTGGTTTGTCCAGAGGAAAGTTTGTTAGCTCAATACTGTAGTTTGTTAGCCAAATCACATTTTCCCTCAAGAAAGTACAGTAATGATTTTATTTTTTCTCTGGACTTTGAGAGTGGACTTGATAATTAAAAAAATGTGTCCTAAAAATATTCTCAGGCCTGAAATCCAATGAATGTCTTTGATACAATATGTAAGATAACTCACTGCAGATTCGCCCCTATAAAATGCATTATTAATATTAAAAGGATTTTTTCCAGGATTTTTTGAATTTAAACCAAGAAACCATTCACAGAACTAAAGCTCATAATGGAACATTTTCATGAAACAATTGCCAATGATAAATAAAGAATTCATTGTATTTATGGTCTGAATTTTTAACAATTGGTCAGGGAGGGAAAAGAATTCCACCAAGCAGAAATAATTAAAGAAACGCATTAAAAAACTTTCTTAGCATTTTCCGAACAAAATGTATTCCAATCAGCAGCAGAACATGCGAATCTCAAGAACTAATGATTTGAACCAACATGACCAGCCCAAATTACTTGAAATTGCGTCGAGATAAGCATATACCACAGCAGGTTAAACATGTTTCAATTTGATCTCACTTGGATAAAAAAGTGAAATTTTCAAACATTATTTAAAAACCTATTCCCACATTACAAAATGCAGCTGCTAGCCTTTGGAAATTTTATAGCCAAATATTTTGTGAAGTGTGGGTCTTTTTTTTGTGGCAAATCTGTAAAAATTTGGCTGAAACTTTCATTATTTGAATCACATGAAGAATCTCATCATCTTGCATTGTTCCATCTGTTTCAGTTTTCAGTTGTTCACTATGAAGCCAAATTAAATACAGGTACTATGAGAGACTCGGTAGTTGAACACATTTTTGATTCTTTGCCATTCTTCAGCAAATGCATAATCTTTGATGATGCAAAAGGTTTCACTTTCAACTCAAATAGAAAAAATAAAAAATATGTGGTGAACAATCCATCACAAAGCATGTGTGACATTCTGTGATGCATTAATGAAGAAGTTGGAACTTAAATCCCTAGCTTTGCTATGAAAAAAGAATTTGTAGGCCAAAATTTTCTTTAAAGAAAATAAATTTGTAAGTTAAGTCATGATTTGTTAGCCAGGGCAGCTGGGGCCAAAACGCAAAGTTTGTTAGCTGAAAAGTTTGTAAACTGGGGCGTTTGTCAGCTGAGACCCCACTACAGCATAAGCGTTTCTGATGATGGAATAATTTGGAAAACTTCCTCAAAATCTGGAAAAAATCCGAAAACCTTAGAACATTATGAGTTTTACTTTTTATTTATTTTTTACTATCACAGCTACTCTGAATAAATATCAGAGGTTGCATCCAGCAACTGCTGGGTCAACCCTTGCTGTGCATCTACCGTATACAGTAAAATACTGATGCAGATGCTGCAAATACAGTACCTGAGCCATAATCCATGGGGAACTATGTTTATACAAGTTGTTGCCAATTATGCTTTCCACCTTCTTTTAGGTGTGGACATATAGAGAAAAGCAAAAAGACGAGATGCAAACATATGCCATGCAGTACGAGTACAGTATATATTTCTACACGTTTTGTTTTAAATCAAATGCCTTCTGATTGAATTACAGTATCTCGCATATATGTAGTATCTTATTCCCAGCAACTGTGATCAAAGTGTCTCGTGTATTCGGCCAAGATAAGAAACTGTTTGTCTCCTCATTTTCGTCTGAATAATCAGCTTATAACCAGGGCTGCGAGTGAACCCTGGAAAGCAGCGTTGTAGTCGGTTGCGACTTCAGCGTGGACGTAGTCGTGGCGGTCGTCGTTGTATTGATCATTGTGGTCTGGCCCACCCACGAGGGCTCCCTCAAGGACTTGGGGATTCGCAGCAGGAGAATCATAGTGGCTCCAGTCGCAAACGCAGCCACCACATTGCTCCACAGTTGGACATGAACTGCAATGATGGAAACACATGAGGGAATTTCATAGCAATACTGTGGCAATCCTTTGATGCTAATATAAGAGTGCCTTATTTACTCAAGCACCATGCACACCTTATTTTCTGAAGAGAAAAAAAAAACATGGCAGAAAAGTGGGGTGCGGGTAAGAAGTTTCTGCTGTAAAAAATTAAAAAATTAGTGGTGGGAGCCACCCACGAGGCCACGAGTAATTGTACCTTGTTTAAGTGCAAATAATGAACAGGGAATTTTCTTTGGGTCAACTTCAGTTAAAATGATGCATCTTCTTAATTACATTTATGGAATTATTTTTTTCAGCATTCTAATATCAAATGAAATTTTAATTTTCATCAATGTAACAGTGGGGTGTGTGCCTTATACAGGGATACATTTTTGGACAACCTCAAACAAAAAACTGAGCTGGGCATCATAATTGTGGGTGTATCCAGTAATATAATGTACTATGTATGCTACAGCTGGACTCTCTCAACAACAATCTTGTCTACAATGATATTATCTGTATAAAAATTTTTCCAGTCCTATATACAGGATCCCCATTTTATGGGGGTTTTAGTCTACAACAAAATTCAATGATCCAGAAAACAGTATGTTGTAGAGAGGATTTGTTGTAGAGAGAATCCACATGTGTGCATGTTAGCATATTGAAAATAAGGAACAATTGTTTTGTATGTGCAGTAGTAATCTTTTTCAAAAAATATTCAATATGGATGAATATACAGGGGGAATATCTCTGCAAGAAAATGCAATGGACCAAAGGAGATAATTTTGGTGTCTGTTACAATATGGGGAGAGAATCCTATCTGGGAACCAGAATATTATTTCAAAAAGATTATTGCTGTAGACAAGATTGTTGTAGAGAGTGAGAGAGTCCACCTGCGTTTCTCATATATTACATTTCTACTGCATATATAATACATATCTTGATCACATTCACTCAAGTACTATATTACTATATGCGCCTGCAAGTAATCGACACACACCTTGATTCTTCAGCCTAAAATTTTGAGAAACCTATAGTATTCACAAATCAGACCCCAGCTACCCATTTTTAGTAACAGAAAACTTACAAAGCTAAAATACATGTACAGTGAATTGTATGCACACATAATTCAAATCGGAATTTAAAGACTTATTAGATCAGTTGTTTTGTCATCTTCCATATTTAATCTTGAATCTTGAATGATATATTTTAACCTCTGAGAAAATTGCTGAATGCTCAACAAACTCCAAATGAGTATAGTAACTAAATTTTGCTGCACATCGACTTTTACTGCAGATTTGAAAAATTTTGGAATCTGATACCTATTATTGTGGCCATCCTCCTTTTCTTCAGCCCAATTTTGCAATGAAAAGTTGAAAGTGAACTAGATTCAGGCTCAATCTAAGTCTAAATTTGAATTCTGATTCGTCAATCTTGAAACACAGATGGATGCCACTTTACATTAAAATTTCATTGGACCAGAAAATAATTCATTGTAGAGAAAATTTCTTCTCAGAGAATCCCCTTTAAAATGGGGAAGAACCCTATGTCTATATATAGGGGACCAAAAAAGATATTTAGTAGAGAAAATTGTTTCAGACAAGAATGTCATGGAGTCCACCTGCATTGGAAATTTTAGCCACTAAAATTGGTTGGGCTTCTTATACTTGGGGTTTACGTTGATCCAAATTTTAGTCTGTAAAATCCAGATGCGTGATTCTCTATAGACGCTGATACTTGAATAAATACAGCATTCCAGAAATTTAAATTTTCTTTCCAATAACACAATGGACTTTTCTCAATTCTGACTGGAAAAATTGTTATACAGATAATATCATTGAGAGAAGATTGTTGTTGAGAGAGTCCAACTGTAGCATACATAGTACATTATATTACTGGATACACATATCTTGATCACATTTACTCAAGTACTATATGTGCCTGCAAGGAATAGACACACACCTTGATTCTTCAGCCTAAAATTTTGAGAAAACCCTACAGTATTCACAAATCAGACCCCAGCACCCCATTTTTAGTAACAGAAAACTTTCAAAGCTAGAATACATGTACAGTGAATTGAATTCACACATAATGAAAATCGGAATTTAAAGACTTTTTAGATCATTGTTGTTTTGTCATCTTCCATATGTAATCTTGAATGATATATTTTAACCTCTGAGAAAATTGCTGAAGGCTCAACAAACTCCAAATGAGTATAGTGACTAAATTTTTCTACACATTGACTTTTACTGCAGATTTGAAAATTTTTGGAATCTGATACCTATTATTGTGCACCATGTCTGGTCAGCCGCTGGTCAGTCAATTCATGGTCGCGCACCTGCCGGTTGTCAAGCGCCAGTTGGTCCAACCGCCAGCCAAGGCAGTTCTTGGCCTTGCCAATCCCCAGCCCACCAAACTGTGGCTTGGTCACCCGATTGTTGGGGCACCCAAATAATCGGGTGACAAGAATCATGCTGAGTTTTTTTTCAGAATTCAGTGAGCAGAATGGTATCCTAACACAGATTTTTTTCTTTCAAAATTTCAGCAATGTTAGGTTAGGTTAGGTTAGGTCAGTTTATGTTATGGTAGTTTAGGTTAGGTTAGGATATGTTGGGTTTCATGAGTTTTTGTTTTGTGGAAATTTTTATACAATTAAATTTTGTAAAAAAAATAATAATCTGTGGTAGGATACCATTCTGCTCACCAAATTCTAGAAAGAATCAGCATGATTCTTGTCACCCAATTGTTTGGGTTCTCCAACAATTGGGTGACTGGACCCTGGTTTGGTGGACTGGGGATTGGCAAGGCCAAGGACTGCCCTGGCCGGCAGTTAGACCAACCGGCGCTTGACAACTGGCGGGTGCGCAATCATGATTTGACTGACTGGCAGATGACCTGGTACCATTGTGACCATCCCCCTTTTGCTCAGCCCAATTTTGCAATGAAAAGTTGAAAGTAAACTAAATTCAGGCTCAATCTAAGTCCAAATTTGAATTCTGATTTGTCAATCTTGAAACACAGGTGGACGCCACTTTACATTAAAATTTCATTGGACCAGAAAATAATTCATTGTAGAGAAAATTTCTTTGCAGAGAATCCCCTTTAAAATGGGGGAAGAACCCTATGCCTAGGGGACCAAAAAAAAATAATTAGTGAAAATTGTTGTAGACAAGAATGTCATAGAAGGAGTCCACCTGCATCAGAAATTTTAGTCCATAAAATTTGTTGGGCTTCTTACTTGGGGTTTATGTTGATCCAAATTTTAGTCTGTAAAATCCAGATGCGTGATTCTCTATAGACGCTGATACTTGAATAAATACAGCATTCCAGAAATTTAAATTTTCTTTCCAATAACACAATGGACTTTTCTCAATTCNTATGTTGATCCAAATTTTAGTCTGTAAAATCCAGATGCGTGATTCTCTATAGACGCTGATACTTGAATAAATACAGCATTCCAGAAATTTAAATTTTCTTTCCAATAACACAATGGACTTTTCTCAATTCATCAAATGTCAAACATGAGTACATTACAAACCAATAAGAGTCATGGAGTACCTTGATCGGTGGTGAGGTCTCAGAGGATGATAACCACTGTAGCCAATCTGGTAGCTCAGTCCTGTTGGGTTGCTTCCCAGGAGGTAGTCAATCTGACCCTTTGCCAAACTTCTGTAATATCCTCCTCCCAGTCCAAGGCTATCAGCCTGAATATTGAAATTTGTCAATTAACCTTGAATGATGTACAATCATCTTGAACAAACCAAAATCTTTCTTAAACTGAAAAATTCTCTATCTGTAGTTCATAAACCAATTGAGGTTGATATATCAACCCGTGAAACATATGAACATTAAAAGAAGGACCTCGCTTTTGGCACAATATATCAATTGCTATTTTTGCAAATTTTTCAGGTCAGTGTTTTCCAACCAATTTGGGCCTGCAGAGTGCAGACTGACAAATTTCCAGATATTTTTTTTGCAGCTGGGCAACTTTCAAAAAAAAATTCTTTGGACTGGCAAAGTTTCATGAAATTGTTGTAGACTCGAAAAAGTTTTGCTTGAAAGACCTTACGGCAGGTATTTGAAAATTGTCTGCTTTTTCAAACAAATAAGTCAAGAACCAATTCAGCAGCATTGGAAGGTCTTCATAAAATTAGAATGGTGGGCTTGAAGAAAGCTTTCTGAAACTGAAAAATTAAAAGACTTTTTTTAGCATGTGCGAATTTGTCTGAATTTTTATTAGGAGAAAAGCCAACTATTAGTTTTCATCAGATAATTTAAATCACCATTGTTTTTCCAAAATTTCAGATAAAGTTAACTGACTTCGTTGCTAAATTTTGATAAGTTTATCATGCTGAAGACAATTCCCTGTGGACTGGCAAAACACTTCTGCAAACCAGCATTGGTCTGTGGCCCAAGGGTTGGTTGGGGACCACTGCTTCAGGTAATTAACTTAATCAGGGACCCTTGGGTGGATGTAATTTACCTCAAGCATGATGAAGGCAGCATTGGCAGCATGTCTTGCTGGTCCCCACTCTTGAATCCAAAACAACCCACCAGGTGTCTTGTCACCAGAAGCAACCCTGTCACAAAACTCTGTCAACTTGTTGGCGTAACGCTGATTGTTTGTGATCCTGTACAGAATTGCCTGCAACAAGTATACATCAATGGGATTATTTTTGCCCACGAAAATCTGGTATTCCGTTCCACTCACATACACACCAGCCTTTTTGTCATCCCAGGAAAATTCTTGAGAATATTGCCCATCAAAGTTGAATTCATTGTATTTATTTTCTGCTTCAGATAGGTAGTATTGCTCTCCTGTGGCTCTGTGCAGCCAAGCAGCTGCCCAAACTAGTTCATCATTATAACCACTCCAGGACCTTGGCAATCATAAAAAAATGGTTGCATGTGGCCCAAAACAGGAAACAATGAATAGGAAATATATTGACTCTTGGACAAATGCGGGTTCTCTGGAATTCCATAATAGAGCCAGGGTTCTTTGTTTTCATACAGGCAGGCTTCAGTTTGACCAAAAATCAATATTATTGGCAGCTTATTGGGCTGAATTTCCCAAATTCTGGGTTTACCAGTAGGATGAAATCCTATGTTTTCCAAATCTTGAACTTATATTCTACGGTAGGAACGCCTAAAAAACATCATCTTGCCCTAATACAGCAGTAAGTTCATTCCCTTGCTGAGAGAAATGCATAATTTTCCTAGATTTGGATTATGTTGACCAGGCTGTAGGTACACTATTTTCTTTNGTTGATCCAAATTTTAGTCTGTAAAATCCAGATGCGTGATTCTCTATAGACGCTGATACTTGAATAAATACAGCATTCCAGAAATTTAAATTTTCTTTCCAATAACACAATGGACTTTTCTCAATTCATCAAATGTCAAACATGAGTACATTACAAACAAATAAGAGTCATGGAGTACCTTGATCGGTGGTGAGGTCTCAGAGGATGATAACCACTGTAGCCAATCTGGTAGCTCAGTCCTGTTGGGTTGCTTCCCAGGAGGTAGTCAATCTGACCCTTTGCCAAACTTCTGTAATATCCTCCTCCCAGTCCAAGGCTATCAGCCTGGATATTGAAATTTGTCAATTAGCCTTGCATGATGTACAATCATCTTGAACAAACCAAAATCTTTCTTAAACTGAAAAATTCTCTATCTGTAGTTCATAAACCAATTGAAGTTGATATATCAACCCTTGAAACATATGAACATTAAAAGAAGGACCTCGCTTTTGGCACAATATTTCAATTGCTATTTTTGCACATATTTCAGGTCAGTGTTCTCCAACCAATTTGGGCCTGCAGAGTGCAGACTGGCAAATTTCCAGATATTTTTTTTGCAGCTGGGCAACTTTCAAAAAAAAATTATTTGGACTGGCAAAGTTTCATGAAATTGTTGCAGACTCAAAAAAGTTTTGCTTGAAAGACCTTATGGCAGGTATTTGAAAATTGTCTGCTTTTTCAAACAAATAAGTCATGGACCAATTCAGCAGCATTGGAAGGTCTTCATAAAATTTGAATGGTGGGCTTGAAGAAAGCTTTCTGAAACTGAAAAATTAAAAGACTTTTTTTAGCATGTGCGAATTTGTCTGAATTTTTATTAGGAGAAAAGCCAACTATTAGTTTGCATCTGATAATTTAAATCACCATTGTTTTTCCAAAATTTCTGATAAAGTTAACTGACTTCGTTGCTAAATTTTGATAAGTTTATCATGCTGAAGAAAATTCCCTGTGGACTGGGAAAACACTTCTGCAAACCAGCACTGGTCTGTGGCCCAAGGGTTGGTTGGGGACCACTGTTTCAGGTAATTAACTTAATGAGGGACCCTTGGGTGGATGCAATTACCTCAAGCATGATGAAAGCAGCATTGGCAGCATGTCTTGCTGGTCCCCACTCTTGAATCCAAAACAACCCACCAGGTGTCTTGTCACCAGAAGCAACCCTGTCACAAAACTCTGTCAACTTGTTGGCGTAACGCTGATTGTTTGTGATCCTGTACAGAATTGCCTGCAACAAGTATACATCAATGGGATTATTTTTGCCCACGAAAATCTGGTATTCCGTTCCACTCACATACACACCAGCCTTTTTGTCATCCCAGGAAAATTCTTGAGAATATTGCCCATCAAAGTTGAATTCATTGTATTTATTTTCTGCTTCAGATAGGTAGTATTGCTCTCCTGTGGCTCTGTGCAGCCAAGCAGCTGCCCAAACTAGTTCATCATTATAACCACTCCAGGACCTTGGCAATCATAAAAAAATGGTTGCATGTGGCCCAAAACAGGAAACAATGAATAGGAAATATATTGACTCTTGGACAAATGCGGGTTCTCTGGAATTCCATAATAGAGCCAGGGTTCTTTGTTTTCATACAGGCAGGCTTCAGTTTGACCAAAAATCAATATTATTGGCAGCTTATTGGGCTGAATTTCCCAAATTCTGGGTTTACCAGTAGGATGAAATCCTATGTTTTCCAAATCTTTCAATACTTATATTCTACGGTAGGAACGCCTAAAAAACATCATCTTGCCCTAATACAGCAGTAAGTTCATTCCCTTGCTGAGAGAAATGCATAATTTTCCTAGATTTGGATTATGTTGACCAGGCTGTAGGTACACTATTTTCTTTCCTAGGATCTTGTTTACTGCTAAAATATCTTGACTGTGCTTGCATATAGAGCTGAGGTGCAGGTGGTAAAACAAATTATTTTCATTAATGCTTTCTCTCAAGATTTCTGAAACTTGATGTAAGCAGGAAAACATTTCATTACAGCAGATATTTATGGTTTATTGTACTGTATTTTCAGGTTTGAATGGTTTTGTTTTAACAAGATTTCCTCTTTATACCAGAATTTCAAGATTTCTGAAACTTGATGTAAGCAGGAAAACATTTCATTACAGCAGATATTTATGGTTTATTGTACTGTATTTTCAGGTTTGAATGGTTTTGTTTTAACAAGATTTCCTCTTTATACCAGAATTGCCCTTGTAACATGAGTGAGAATGATTCTTCAATTGAGTTTACAAATTCATATGTGCTTTAGAATTATGCCAGACTGTGATATGAATTCAATTTACAAAAATTAAATTACTCTGCCTTTTTTGATTACGCAATATTTCTATATTCCAACCGCACCTGCTTCAATGATTTTTTTCATGCTTCGACAAATAATCATGAGGAAAGGGATATTTATAATGTTTACCTTTGTGTTAGTGAAAGTTGCAAAAAAAGTGCATTATACTTTTTTTATTTTAGCACAGACCCCTGGAGTTAGCTTAAAAATGCTTTCATCATGGAAAAAATAATAATTACCGTTAATAAATAAAAATAGCGCCCTCAGACGCTCTTTCTTGTATAGAACAAAATTAATTAAGTACTTCCTCATACTCACTGATAATAGCCAGCAGCATCAGTTATGGACTCATGGTACACTCTGCGGAACTGATTTGCAAAGTCATACAGTTCTCTTGCATGTCTGACAAGCTCATTAGCATAACCATCATCATGCCCTCTGAAAACCAAGGATGAAGCTGCTAAAGCTGCTGCGGTTTCAGCTGCCAGATCTGAACCTAAAAAATACGTTTGATTTCCCTTGCATTAATTATAAGTCAGCCAAAAAACCCATGAAACACTAATGGGGAAACTACAAACAAGGCATAATCATCAACATGCCCATTTACTCAAGTATAACTAAAGGTAGACATACTTACATTTATCAGATGTTCTCAACTAATTTCTGGAACTACAATTCATACTTTGAATCTACAGTCAAGAGATGTGGAGACACGCTCCAATTAGAAATGAATATTTCAGCTTTCTATTCACATCTTCCTGGAACATCATAAATTAGCTAATCTGTTATATAGGCATGCTTCAATCATTTATAGACTTATTACCACTAAAAATAGTAATGAGTACAGCACGTTCATCCGGACCATCACGAAGACTTAATTTATTATACTTTACTGTACTTTAAAAGCGTTAATTCAAATGTTAATTAATGTTAATGATTTCTTGCAAGCAAACTGTTTTTAAAATTTAAGAATGCTGTTACCGTATAACGATCCAAAGGAATAAAGAACAAATGAATAATTTGATGAATAATAGCCATGAGAACAGTAAACTAGGGCATATAGGATGGAAGTTACCAGGGTTGTTGGCATCGATTTTGTAGGAGGGTCTCGATTTCCCGCTATTTCCGTAATCCTCGGGCCTACCCCAGTAAGAATGGTCCTCTCCTCCATTACCCACTTGTCCATAAAGTTCATTGGGTGCCGTGTGAGCCTGTCGCAATAAATAGACAAAATAACATGGATGAACACATTCTAATCTTTCCTTGCTGTTTAACATAGTATCGTTGATCACTCTTTGATTTTATTGTGTGTACATGCAGGTACTTGACGGTTACCGCATGAAAACAATGCAGCACTCAATCGCTGGAATTTTTGTTAGAATTTGCAAATGAGGTAAGCAAACAAATTGAGTGTATGTTATGCGCTCTAGACATTGGATTGTTGAAAAATCGTTTACTAAGACAAATATCACGAAATCGGGCATCACATTTGGTCATCACTTGACAGAAAACTTATACTATATGGACATGTTTTACTGAAAAAAATTCTTGATTATTCATAGTAGCTTATATTGGTACAATGCAAACGTGTTCATCGGAAAACGGAATTTCATATAACAAGGTGATTTAGACAGAAAAAAAGCTCAAATTTTAAGAAGTTCGGAGGTGAAGCGTTAAACTGCTGAAATCAAATAAGCAACCAATTGCAAAAATTAAATAAGGAAAAAGTTCCATCTTTTCCAGTGTGCACCAAATTTTTAAATGTAAAGATCTAAAAATTTTATGATTGCGGTGTACTCCAGTTTTATTTACTAGTAAATTTCTAAGACAAGTTCATTTCAAGAACTTGGTAAAATTCGAAGCTTTCAACGTTACTCATCATTGATACTTTGTGAATTTTTTGAGGGGGTGAAAACATTTTCCAGGCATAAGGCGCATAATTGAAGGAAGTCATGTTCAACGGACGAAAACTTTGCAAAAAAATTTATCCTGGAACATATCAGTTTTTTCTGCAGGGACCCACTGCTAAAATTGATAGCTTTCAACGTTCATCATTGACACTTGGTGAACTTTTCGAGTAAATGAAACTATTTTTCAGGTACAGTAAAGCTGAAGGAAGTCCTGTTTCAACGGACAAGAACTCTGCAAAAAAAACATTTCATCCTGGACATTTATTTTTTGCAGGGTATATATGCAGAAGCGCATGATGTTTTACATTATGCATTGAAACATTTCATCATGCTTTTAAGTGTTCATGTACCATCTTCAGATTGAGAATGAGCCAACAACAAAATTCCCAAATTCCTCCTTTTGATGAAAGTGACCACGAAAAAACAAGGAATACAATTTTCGCAGTATATCTAAAAATCGTCATTATACCTTCATGAAATAATCGGTCCCCCATTTTAGAGTCCTGCGCCCAAAATCAGCCTCGCCGGCTCTTTGGTACCCGTCAGCAAAGTCCACCATACCCATGGCCAGAACTGACACCGAATACGCCATCGGGAATCCGAACTTCACAAAGTCTCCAGCTACGAATTTTTCAAAAGTCGTATTTAAAAGCAAATTATCATCTCCAATAAGACTTTCTTCAGGACGTATTAAATAATCATTCCCACCATCGAAATAGCCGCCAGTCAAGTCCCGGCCCACGTCTTGGCCATCCCCAAGAAAAGAGTCTTTCCTCCAGGACACTCTGTTGTCATCGGGCAAGTCACCAGCACGGTTCGCCTCGTAAAATTTCTGGCTCAAACTCAGTGCGAGGCCGTAGTCTTGCCCGGAGACACAGTTAACCAGGCAAACGCAAAAAACGAGCGCGAAAACCGACGGTTTCATGGTCACCATCATCACCATGAACGGGTTCCGTTCACAAGAAACTCTTACTATCGTCACCACCCTCTTGCGTAATATCACTCAGTTATTTTCTTTTATGGAATTTTTCAGTGCTAATCGAGTCTGAAAATACTTGCATTGTGCATCGTCGATTATTCTCATCGGCACAGCATAATAGAAGATAAGTGCATATTTATAAAATTTTGAGAACGCTTTCACCTGCGCCTTGTGTTCGCAGTCACACCTGTTCACTTTTTTTGTTTTGTTTATTGATAAGATTGCGTCGTCATCACGAAAGTGGGAAAGTCATAGTTATTTGGGGGAGCTTGGATTTCGAAGTCTCATGTGTCTGCAGCTTCTCCAGGGGGCTTTTTTGGAGTCTAGTTGCGAATATCTGAGCTCAGCTCACTGAGGTCCATAAACGTGAATCACAGGAGAGCACTATACTATTAGGTAGAGCCTGAATGAAGGAAAGTTTGTGTGGAAAGTTTCAGCTTTTCCTTGGCTTTATGCAGCTAACAGTTAGTTATTATTATATAACACTGTTTTTTGTAAAGATGTATAACAAAATGTTTTGACATCAGCTGAATCATGTTTCTGAATAAATGAAATAACTGGTCCATTCTTCATGGTGAAGTTTCAAGTTTCAAAAGCAAAAAATGCTGAAATTCGAATCACGGACTGGTAGCATTTTTTTTTTTGCTTGATGATGGCAGAATTTTCAAATGTTGAAATTTTGGAAATGAAAGTTTATGGAGAGGTGGTTGCGGTTGTTTGTGTCAAGATGAGACTCAGATCCAAAAAAATACAACTTGTATTTGTTGTTAATTCCTTTCGCATAGGACAAAGGCCCACTAAGAAATGAGATTAATGCAATAAATAAGTGAGAACTTACAATCTGCTCAGGAACAGGGCAGGGGATTCTCAGTAGAATCCCAAAAGACAAGAATAATTGTATTTCAATTGAATTATTGCAAAGAATTCCAAAGTCACACAAAAAAATGAGAGAAAAATAGCAACTGACTGGGGTGAGAGTTAGATTGAGACTGCTAAGATCAAAGGAAAGAAGGTTTGAGAAAGAAAAGAATTGCACCATGGAAACCCAGGGGGGAAGAGAGGGTGCTGTGCTGATTATCAGTGATCAGGGGGAATTCTGGTGATCACCTGATGTCAATGTGTGCTTCTAGCATGAACTTTCTTTGGTACCCTGTGTCTTTTAGGACACATTATTATATATTTGGACGCAGGGTCCAAATTGTTTCCTAGAGCACTTGCTGCGCAAGAAAGTTTTTGCAAGCAGAAACCTCAAGAGGTCATCATCGAAATACCATCAATGATTGGTTCAGGTGGAGAATGTTTTCAAAAATAAATTGCACATGAATGTGAGCAGATTAGCCTGGAAGGGGTTGGGAACTTTTTAAATCTACGTTTCAATAGTACAGTCGAACCTCATTAAACTGCCAGCGTTTGTGCCGCCAAATTTTGGCAGTTTAACAAGGGTGGCGGTTTAATGGGGGAAACAAGACTTGGTGGTTCAAACAATACTTTACAAAAAAGGGTGGCATTTGGAACATAAAAGCAGCACAGATTAGTGGAGCAAACTAATTTATTCAAGTTTTAAAGCATTCCATTTGGAAATTTAGGGGTTGCAAAGAGCTAGAGTATTCAGAGATTAGAAGACATTGACTGAGATTACAACTGATTTCTTAAGTTACATGATTGTCAGGGTTTTTTGTGGGGGGGGGGGGGGCTGCAGATTTGTTGTAGGAATGGCACTTAAGAAATATTTTTGTATATGTTCTATCAAGACTCCCGCCGGCACCTATCAATGATAACACCCTCACCTTTCGTCATTTAATTGAAACTAGACATTATTACAAAATTCAGAGAAGCAGAAAGTATAAAAACCCAACAGTGAATAAATATACCCATCTGGAATCAGTGAATAATAACTTCTTCTAGCAAATGATTATTTCAAACTGAGACAGGAAAGTTATAAAAAAATAAAAAAAATGAAAACCTGTTCAAATCAGCACCTCAAACACTGGTTGGGTTTACTAGCATGAATACAAGAAGCAATTCAGACTTTTATTTTTATCTTTATTTTAAACTCAGCCACTATTTCAGAGACTATTTACTACAGATGGACTCTTGCTACATTAATATTGTCAACAAGGATTTTTCTCTCAATTATGTGTATAATGAATTTTCGGCACAATATATAGGGATGAGTTGTGGAGAGAATACACTAAGAAAAATCCAGTAAAGGTTATCCTGATCCTCTCCAAACTTTTATGTTATGATGAAAAGGCAGCCTTCAGTTCTTCCTGCATTTGCAGAAACAAAACAGTACAGTTCTCTCTTATTATTCCTTCTCTATCTTTGAATATTTAATAAAAAGGTTAAGCTTTGTATTTGTGCACAAATTTGTCTTTATTCACTTGTGTGTTTTTAGTGTTATACTTGTGAATTGTGCCCTAGTTTCTTTGCCATAAAATCCCACAACAAATCATTCTGAAAAAAGCTAAGATCATATCTCCATGATGTTCCCTTCAGTATACATTCACAGCCACAAACCCACTGATTGTTAGTGTTTTTTTCACTGTGGGGCTCTGTTATGCACAATATGGGGTTCTTCCTCCATATAATACCCAGCAAATAATTAGCTACAGACAGCTTAGGATGTAACAGCTTTGAGTAGCAACATTCATTTGCTATGCAAAACTAGTTATGTCCAGGAGTCCAGCTTCTTCTGCTATACCTTAACAATTTCTGCAGACTTTGAGGCCTGATGTAGCAATAATTTTTCTTACCATGCATTGGGAAGGCATAGCTCATGCCTGCTCTGGTTTTGGCTAGAAGAAAACATTTAGGGTGTACTTTTCCTATGGGCGTAGCACCAGGAAATGTATACCCTAAATGTGTTCTGCCTGCTACATTCAATAAAAAATTTTCTTTCTCCTTTTTTTGCTAGGGTTTCTCTACAAAGCATTGTTAACTTAGAAACTTTTTCTTTACTCTTGAAATCCATTCCAAAGAAGATCCACCTGTATTTGGCCAAATAATTGTTTGGCAAGAACTAATGCTTTGTTGTCTTAACTAGTCTTTAATTTGAAACTAAGGATCATTGATCAGACAAATCCTTGTTCTGACTCAAAATTTTATCAGCGTTGACTTTGCTGTTGAAGATTTAAATCGTTTTCCGCAAACTTTCAGAGAATCAAAATTAGACTTCATCTATGTGCACAAATGCGTGCTTTATTCAGTATCACAAAGCATAGAACAACTGTGAGCAGCAGCAACAACAAGATTTTGCAGCAAGCATTTGGTCAGAGTAAACTTAACTGAAGACAGCAAGCACTCCTAGTTATAGGACAATCCCATATGCATTCCTTTAAGGTCAGCGCCAAGCACAGCAACCAATTTGGATTGGTGTTGACATACTTGGTTGCATAGCAACTAAAAGAAAGGTGTACAGCATAGAAAGCATTGTCAAAAAAGGAAGTAGAAGGTTTTGGTTGTGCACATGATCAACATGTTGATCATGTGCATTCTGAACACATTTCAGAAAAAACTTTCAGTACAGCAACACCAAAAAAAAGAAAGGCGTTTCAGAAGAAGCTGGGCATAACAGTTATGCATAACAAACACATTTTTGAATGCGTAACTGTTATGCGCAGCAATACCTGTGACAAATTATTTGCTGGGCAATGCAGAACAGAACGTGAGACAAGGGAACATAACAAAGTGCAATGGATTGTAGCCATATGTTGTTCATTGGACTACAGCTTATTTGAGACCAGCCTCAATCAGGTAAATTATCAGAGCATTTACAGTATTTTGGAAAACAAATCTCTGCATGCATCATCGCTGTTCATTCAAAGTGCATTCATTCTAGGAGCAAGAGAACTTCTGAGAAGCCCCCAAATTGTCAAAATGATACTCTGTACTTCATTGAAGATGCCCAGCAGGAGGGGAAGGAAGTGCCCTGCAGCAGTCCTGAATAAAGCAGCATTCAAGAGAACAGGTAAATGCATGCGATATCCGCTCAGGTTGCATTTGAGTTGATTGAGCACTTTACCCGGCTACCTCCTCTGTCGTACCCATTGTGGCGGAATAATTCGGTACATTGTCGTACCGTCCTCCAGTTGCGGGTACAGTAAAAACCTGCAATAATAAATGTCCATTAGTTTCAGGAATCCACAGGAATATTCCAGAACATTCTACTGGAGA